GGTTTGTTTTTTTTTTTTTTCTCTGCACTCAGGAATTACTCCTGGTGGTGCTCAGGGGACCACATGGGATGCTGGGAGTTGAACCTGGGTCAGCCGCGTGCAAAGCAAACACAGTACCTGCTGTGCTATCGCTCCAACCCCAAGAGCCTATGTTCTTAAACTATGACCTTGTATGGGGCCACATAACTAAATATGGAGGTCATGAAAAACTTGTTTTAAAATAAATTTCTGAGTTGCTATTAGAATTTGTTGATTTATATGCTTGTCACGTAAAAATTCTCAGCAAATATGTGTTAAAAATGGGAAAAGTTTGCCCTGACGTCGAGGATTAAGAAATTATCTTTTCTTGATGTCAGAAGAATCCTTGATACATGCTTTTTTTTTTTTTTTTTAATTTTTTACTCCTAAGCAGTAGCAGAGGTATCTAATGGAATCCTGGAGGACCCAAGTTGTTTAGGTATAGAGAACTGATTTCTTCATCAAAGTAGGGTTAGGTCAAACTAGTCCTGTAGTTCACTTCCCTTGCCCTTTTAATTTTCAGTAAACCTTTCTATTTAAATAATTTAATTTATTTGTGGGGGTGCACACCAGGTAAGGGGACTTAATCCTGGGTCCGCCATCAGGGATCACTCCTGGTGGGACTCATGGGGTGCCAAGGAGCAAATCCATTTTTTTTGTTTGTTTTTTGTTTTTTGCTTTTTGGGTCACACCTGGCAATGCACAGGGGTTACTCCTGGCTCTGCACTCAGGAATCACCCCTGGCGGTGCTCAGGGGACCATATGGGATGCTGGGAATTGAACCTGGGTTGGCCGTGCACAAGGCAAACGCCCTACCCGCTGTGCTTTTGCTCCAACCCCAGCAAATCCATTTTGGCTGCAAGCAAGGCAGACTTTTTGCCATTCACCACACATTTTTGTTTTTAAATGAAGACACTGGGTTAGAGAGATAAAACAAAGGACCCACTGAGTATGTAGAAGCTTTTGTTTGACTCCTAAACAGTGAACTGGAAATAGTCCCTGAGTCTTTCCTGGTATGGCTACCCTCTCCCCTCAAATATTATTTTTTTATTTTTTGTTTTTTTGGGTCACACCCGGCGATGCACAGGGGTCACTCCTGGTTCTGCGCTCAGGAATTATCCCTGGCAGTGCTCAGGGGACCATATGGGATGCTGAGAATCGAACCCAGGTCGCTGCATGCAAGGCAAACACCCTACCTGCTGTGCTATTGCTTCAGCCCCTCTCCTCAAATATTTAAGGGCAGTACTGGGACTGTAGGCCAACCATACAGCACTTGCCTTGCATATGTCAGGCTCTGTATTCTACTTTGGCATGGCAAAATAAAGAGAAAAGATTATTTTTTGCTTTTTGGGTCATACCTGGCGATGCACAGGGGTTACTCCTGGCTCATGCACTCAGGAATTACTTCTGGCGGTGCTCAGGGAACCATATGGGATGCTGGGAATCGAACCGAGGTCGGCCGTGTGCAAGGCAAATACCCTACCCGCTGTGCCAGCACTCCAGCCTGAGAAAAGATCATTTAAAACATTACTCAGGTGTGCTAAATTGCTTCATCTTAAAAGCTTGCTAAAGAAGGGGCTAGAGTAGATAGTATACAAGGTAGGGTGATAGCCTTGCATGCAACTGACCTAGGTTTGATCCCCATCATCCTATAGGATCCCCTGAGCACCACCAGGAGTAATTCCTCAGTGCAGAGCCAGGAGCATTGCCAGATATGGTCCAAAAAGAAAAAAAAAAAAGCTCAGTAAATCTTTATCAAATTCTTCTATTTGATAAAAATTTTCTTCTATTTGATAAAAAGAATAAAAATTCTTTTTATTGTTACTTTTTCCTTTTTTGGACCATTCCCAGCAAATGAGGAGACCATGGTTTTTCAGACAAAGCATGTGCTCTAGCCATCTGAGTTATCTCCCCTTGTAACATTTTTAAAAACAGTTGCCCACGGAGGGACTGGAGAGACAGTACAACTCCTAAGGTCTTGCATCCAACCTGGGTTTCATCTTTGGCCTTTCACATGGCTGACCCAGGTTCAGTCAACTTAGTCCTCAAGCCATGATAGGAGTGATCTCTGCGCACAGAGCCAAGAATAGGTAGACCCTGAGCACCAACTGCGGCTCAATCCAAAGTTGCAACTTCAAAATGCAAGAAGTTGCGTTTTATATAAAAAGACAAATTGTGTCTCACATCTCATTTTTAAAGTATTTTGGCCACCCTGGTTATGCCTAGGTACTACTATTGGTACCTAGTTTGGTATTTGGGCATGGCTCTTGGCAGTGCTGGGGCTGAAATGGGGGATGATGACCCTCATCAAATGATGACCATTTGTTATTGGGGATCGAACTTACTAGGTCTCCTGCATGCGAAGCATGTGCTCTGACCCTTGAGCTGTCTTTCCAATTCAGAATTAATGTGTCAGCTTTACCAATAATTCTGTCTTCTGTTTCTATCCTTCTCTCTTCTCTTTATCAAAGTTAAATTTATTATTTTTTAAAAAATCTTTGTTTAAATTGGATAGGGTCCTACACTTAATGATGCTCAGGGCTTACTCCTTCCTGTGCATTCAAGAGATCACTCCTGATGGTGCTCAGCAGGCCATATGGGATGCCAGGGATTGAACCCAGGTCGGTCATATGGAAGGCATGCACCCCTACCTGCTGTGTTATCCTTCTGGCCCCTATTTGATTGACGTTCTGTGATTTAGAATATTGTTTCCCATGTACACCAGAGTCAAATGTATTATCAAAAGCTTTACCGTAGGGCTAGAATGGGAGGGCTTTTGCCCTGCACCCAGGTTCAATACCTAGCACCCTTACGGTCCCCTGAGCATCCCGGTCAGTCATTCTTGAGTGCAAAGCAGAAGTAACTCCTTGAGCATCACCAGGTATGGCCCCAAAAACAAAAAATAAAGTTTTTAAATGTTAAAAAATAGCTTCACCCTATAGAATATTGCCTCATATTCAGAAGAGTAAAAAAGTTTTCTTCTTTTTTCCCCAGAATGAAAAGTTTTTAACCATTCTTAGCCCTTCCTGTTCCCCAGCTTCCATCAGCAATGAGCAACTGCTTTTTACTGTTTTCTCCATGTTCTTTACTTTTTCCCTTTTATTTGGGAGGGAGGTCACACTTGGGACCTACTCCTCCTAATTCTGCGTGTAGATCTCTCCTTTGGGTGCTCAGGAGACCATGTGGTAGCAGGATTTACACCTTAGCAAGCAAGTGCTCAGCCCCTTGAACTATCTTAGGTTCCTTCATGTCCTTTTTATATTTAAACCACAAAACCAAAATGTTAGGAAATAGTCATAGTAGACACATTAGAATAATACTTACTTGGGGCACTTTTCTCTTTAATAAAATTTTTCTTTTTATGCATTACTGAAGATAGAACCCATGGCCTTATACATGCAGAGGCAAGAGCTGTACTACTGAGCTTTATCTCTGGCCCCTTATCAATTTTATTACCTTGACGTTTTTTCTGACTAGTATTCTTGGAAAACGTGATGTTTCGTGTGTATAAGGAAGCTGCTATCTTCAGATATCTTCGAGGGCTGTGGGTAAGATAATGTGAAAAAGACAAGACCAGAGGACTGATCTTGAATATATTAATAAAATACATATTAATATAGCACTGTAGCACTATCCTCTCGTTCATCAGTTTGCTCGAGCGGGCACCAGTAACGTCTCCATTGTGAGACTTGTTACTGTTTTTGGCATATTGAATACATCACCGGTAGCTTGCCAGGCTTTGCCTTGCAGGCAGGATACTCTCAGTAGCTTGCTGGGCTCTCTGAGAGGGACGGAATCGAATAGTATATTAATAAGATAGTATGTATATTACTTTTTTTCCCTTGCCAGATAGTACATTTCATCTTCTACCCCTACCCTGACTTCCTATCAGAAAGATGACTTTTACAACCTTCCATGGATCCTGGGATTGAATTTAGTTCTTCTGTTTATTTATTTCTTTTTATCTATTTTTGCTTTTTGGGTTACACCCAGTGATGCACAGGGGTTACTCCTGGCTCTGCACACAGGATTCACTCTTGGCTCTGCTCGGGGGACCATAGAGGATACTGGGAATTGGGTACCATATGGGATGCTGGGAATCAAATCCTGTTCAGCCGCGTGCAAGGCAAAATGGCCTACCATGCAAGGCAAATGCCCTACCCGCTGTGCTATTGCTCCAGCTCCTCTTCTGTTTATGTTGTTTTGGGGCCACACATGGGGATGCTCAGGGCTTACTCCTTACTCTGAGTTTAGGGATCACTCCTGACGGTGGTGGTGGTGGTGGTGATGGTGTGGACTCATGTTGGGGAGTGGGGAAGACACATGGACCATGTGGTGTGCTGGAGATCAACTCAAGTGGTGGCAGTGCAAGACCAGCCCTCTGGTCTTGTCTTTTTTTTTTTTTTAACTTTCCTGGTCTTTTCTTGTGGAAAAATAAAAGAATGGAGAATATTAAATGTTTCAGTAAGGTCCTGAAGGCTCCATAGAGGTCTGATCTGGACTGGGAGTTAATAGGGTGGAACTTACACAAGAGGAAGATTGCGTATCTGACTAACATTATCTTTACACTTCTGACTTTTGTGGTGTGGGTTTCTTTTTTTTTTTTTTGGTGGGGGGGTATGCATGCATGCACGTAGCATCACATTAGCATTCCTCAGGGCTTATATCTGGCTCTGTTCAGGGATGACTCTGGTAGAGCTTGGGAGAACGTATGGGATGGTAGAGATTGAACTTGGATGGGCCGTGTGCAAGGCAAGCTCCCTGCTTGCTGTACTTCAGCTGTACAGTAAGGTTTTTAAAAGCTGTCTTAAAAGACTAGGGTTGTTTCCCAGGTTAGAGGTATATTCTTCCTCTTTTTAACCTCTACTCTTCCCTCTCCTCTGGTAAGAGAGAGATAAGTAGTTAGAGGGGAGAGGGGCATTCCCTGTACAAGACTTAACCTTGTTTGACTTACTGTATTTTTTTCCCTTTCTCTCCTACAGAAATGGAGGCAAACGACCATTTTAACTTTACTGGCCTTCCCCCTGCACCTGCTGCCTCAGGACTGAAACCCTCTCCCTCCTCAGGGGAGGGCCTCTACACTAACGGGTCTCCCATGAACTTCCCCCAGCAAGGGAAAAGTGAGTGTGAGGGCTGCGTGCCTGGGGAGGGAGGAGGCATCATATCTTCAGAACAAGTTCATGGGACAAGATTTGTCTCCCCTCTGGGTTGGTTGCTTCGCAACAGCTTCTTTTATGCCGCGTGGGGAGGGAGTGAATCCTTCGAACTCCCAACTGCTGGAGAGAAGTGAAGCAGTTCTGTGGGGTTATGACAGCAACACATTGAGTCTTAAGGTTGGAAGTGATTAGAAAAAACAGACTGTTTTTTTCATTTTGGCCTGCTCCTCCATCAGCCCTATTCTGGCTACTGCCAGATAGTGGGGTGGGTACGCTTCTGATAATTAGGTTGGACTGGAGAGAGATTAAGGGCCTACTCTCTGAGAAGTTATTTTTAGGGGAGTTTGGATCTTGGGGTGGAAAGTTGGAATGTGATGCCTTTTAGGTTGTGCAGCAGAGAAGAAAGCAGATGTTTCAAGTGCCTGTGCCACCTCCTGTCTTTAAAGACAGAAGATAGGACAGGGAGAGTTTGAATGCTTACTTAATTCCCCAGAGAGAAATATCTGTAACTCCAGATGGAAGAGTTGCTGCCAAGGTTGGGTCTTTTCCATTGCTCTGTACAGTGGCTCTGCCAAGTACTTCTCTAATCTTCTTGGTTTCAGGTACTTTACACTTGGAAGTAAAGTCCAGTGCTTCCCTTCCTTACAGCAGAAAAATACCACCTCTTCCTCTTGTCATTCAAAGGGGGTTGCAAATAGAAGCTCCTTTATTTCAGTGGAGGATGATGTCCTTAATTTCCTCCCTTCCTCTCCAGCTTTCTTATTGTCTTGGTTCTCACTGTGGAGGTTGCTTCTGTTGAGAACTGAATTCTGCAGTCCTGGTTGTGCAGAAATTCCTGCCTGCTTGCCCCCCCCCACCAACACACACACACACACACACACACACACACACTTTGCATATTTCTCTCCACTGCCTATGGGGAGGGGCTGAGCCCAGACTGAGCTGAGATCTTGCTTCTGTGGTGACTGCAAATTCTATTTTTGTCCCAGCAAATAGTGCTGGATCTGCATGTGCCAGTGAGGTAGAGGTTGTCCCTTCTTGTGCCACTGTGGGGCCAAACAGGCACTGGGGAAAGGGGACGTCTAGAGAATTGAGTCATGCTCCTTCAAGGGAAGAAGTCTTTTAGGGAATGAGAATGGACCAGAATGCACATCACCATTTGCAAGTCTGCAAACTGCATCATAATAAAAAATTAAAGGCTTGAGCATCAATAGGAACCAATGCTTGCTCTGTTTGGTATTATGATAAACCAGGAGAGTTCCCAGCCCCCCTAATTCAGCATTCTCAGCAGTAGTTGCTGAGCTTACATCCAAGCATCTAAGTTTTGGTGTTCCCTGGAAACCAGAAAGCTATAAATAGTGAGGGGGAATCCCCCTCTACTTTCCTTTTTCTAGGTTGTGCTGTTACTTTGGTAGGGTTGGTAGAGTTCCTTGTATACATGTCTGTAACTGACCCTTTTCCCTCTTTCTCTGCCAGGTTTGAATGGGGATGTGAATGTTAATGGCTTATCTACTGTATCTCACACTACTACTTCAGGGATTTTGAACTCTGCTCCCCACTCCTCTGGCACCTCACACCTTCATCACCCCAACGTGGCCTACGACTGTCTCTGGAACTACTCACAGTATCCATCTGCCAATTCTGGCAGCAACCTCAAGGACCCACCCCTTCTCTCCCAGTTCTCGGGTGGACAATATCCACTCAACGGCATCCTTGGGGGCAGTCGGCAACCTTCATCCCCAAGTCACAACACTAACCTTCGGGCTGGGAGCCAAGAGTTCTGGGCGAACGGTACCCAGAGTCCCATGGGGCTTAACTTCGACTCACAGGAACTATATGATTCCTTTCCTGATCAGAATTTTGAGGTGATGCCCAATGGACCCCCTAGTTTTTTCACCTCCCCACAGACTTCTCCTATGTTGGGATCCAGCATCCAAACATTTGCATCCTCCCAGGAGGTAGGCAGTGGAATCCATCCTGATGAGGCGGCAGAAAAGGAGCTGACTTCGGTTGTGGCAGAGAATGGCACTGGCTTGGTAGGCAGCCTAGAGCTGGAGGAAGAACAACCAGGTATAACTGTGGATCTGTGAGTTGGGTTGGGAAAAGGAAAAATTGGGCTGTGGGGGATGGCAGGGCAGTGGCTTTTTGAGGTGAGGAAAACTTGTCTTTCCAGCTCTCTGCAGTGGAGGGTGATTTGCATGTTGGTGATTAGCAGAGCCAAGTGGCTGGTGTTTTTGTGGCAGCAACACCAGCTCGCAAGTGGGAGTGCAAATTATTTCAAGCTCATGCAGAGCTGCTGGCCTGGAGAGGGCAAGTGGGCGAGCATGAAACAGCCCCAATAGACACCCTGCATCAGATGGGCTTCTTCCAAAATACAGGAAGGGATTGGGGTATTGCGGCTGATTTGGCCGAGTCTGGCAGAGCCAGGCTGGCCGCTGAAGTGGGCTGAATTCAAGTGGCAATTAGAATAGGAAGAAAGAAAGCACAGGATACCATTGCTTGTCTACTCACAGTTTCTTTTTTGTTGTTACTTTTGGTTCATGTGATAGTTGCTCTCATCTTTTCCCTTCAAATAGACAAAAGCTTAGTTTGTTATTGATTCAGAGTATAGGAACGATAATCCTGTAAAATCACAGGATTTTTTTCTTTTCTGTTTTACCACCTGTTCCTTCTGAATGGGAGAAATAGATGATAACAGAAGGGAGTTTTTCCTCAAACCCTGTTTTTCCCTTTATTTGCCTGCTTTTTAGGTTTTATCAGCATATCCCTGTTCACTCAGAATATCTTGGTATAATTGGTTCCCCCATAGAGCTGCTTCCCATATGTGTTGAGTGGATGAACTTTAGCTAAATGAACCAACTGAGGACACTTATTTTACATTTGTTCTCTTTTGGGATTTTCTAGAACTGAAGATGTGTGGCTACAATGGCTCTGTCCCTTCTGTGGAATCATTACACCAAGAGGTCTCAGTCTTGGTCCCTGATCCCACAGTGAGCTGCTTAGATGACCCTTCACATCTTCCTGATCAACTGGAAGACACTCCAATTCTCAGTGAAGTTTCTCTGGAGCCCTTCAACACTCTTGCTCCAGGTAGGCTTGGAGAGACGCTCTCTTCAGCTGATAGTGCAGAGACTGGCCTGCTTCCACCTCACAGAGAAAGTAAACAGAAAAGTATTCGGGAACTGGGGCATTGGGCCTTAGGATAATCCCATGACAGACCACATTTTCAAGCCACTGGACTGACTGAGCCAACTGCACTCTGAGCTGAATTGGTTCATTTCCCAGGTTCTCTCCCATGTTCCTTTTGGCCAAGAGCCCTGGACTGTAATTCACTGGATAGGGACTCATTACCACAGAGTTGGGCTGTTAGAGTTCTCACTAACTAGAAAGAAAATGTTTGCCAATGAACAAGCACCTTTTACCCTACGGAAATATTTTTAAAACTAGAATTTTTCTTTGGTCTGTGTGTTAATACAGGATCAATGCTAATGTCTTCCCCTTTATTTCCACTTCAAGTTTTGTGATCCGTACATCCTTGTGAGCCTTGTGACTTGACTCTGAGCTGTTGCTCATATTAGAAAGAGGGTGGGGGAGATGCTCAGTGGTCAGGGGTGTATGTTTTGCATTTTCCAAGGACATGAATTGGTTCCCCGGCACAACATGTTCTTTTCCTGGCATTGCCATGTAGAGCTCTGGTGTCTCTGGAGCACAGTTGTGACCCTGATCATTTCTCTCTCTCTCCACTGGCCTGGCAGTCCCCAGGCACCGTTGAGCCTGAGCATTAAACTGTGTCCAGCCTGGTTTGCAGAGCATCACCAGGAGTGACCCCCTCCCCTCACCTGGACCCTGAGCAGTGCTGGAATGACCCCCCCCCCGACTTCCTGCTCCATCCCCCACACCCCAATTAGTACCTTTATGCTATGGGAACTGAAATTGGATATGTTCAACCCAGTGTTTTTTAAATCTTGTTTTCTGATTTTTCTCTTTTGAAGAGCCTGTGAGTGGAGGACTCTATGGTATAGACGACACAGAGCTGATAGGCGCAGAGGACAAGCTGCCTCTTGAAGACAGTTCAGAGATCTCTGCTCTTGATTGCCCTTCCCTCAATAATGCTACTGCCTTCAGTCTCCTGGCAGATGATAGTCAGACATCAGCCTCTATCTTTGCCAGTCCCACCTCTCCACCTGTTCTTGGAGAGTCTGTCCTGCAAGGTAAGTGAGAGAAGGTGGAAAGAAGGAACAAGGGAGAAAACGGGACCCATCATTAGAACTTCCAGGGTGAGGGATTTATGGGAACACCTTACTTGGATAGTGACTGAGAAAAACTTGGGCTACTGCAGTGTGGCTTAAGCTCTGTGATCAGAACTGGTGAGAGTTGGGAGTTTGCAGGAAAGGAGAGGAGACCAGAGACTTTTCTGGGCCCAGGTAGGAGATAATTCTTCACGGTGATAGCAGCAGTGGCTTTACCCTTTAACCTTCATGAATGATTGGGGAGGACAGTCAGAGGCCACTTACTCCACCCCTAGCGAAAGCCTTTGTAGTAGCCCTGTTTAGTTTAGTCCAGGTTTGATTGAATAGATTCTCTTACTTTATATGACACAGTTTTTCCTTTCCCTTTCTTCATTCCTTTCCCTTTTCCCCAGATAACAGCTTTGATCTAAATAATGGTAGTGATACTGAACAGGAAATGGAGACTCAGACTTCAGACTTCCCACCACCCCTGACCCAGCCAGCCTCTGACCAGTCATCCACTATTCGACTCCATCCAGCAACCTCACCAGCAGTCTCGCCAGCAGCCTCCCCACCAGTCTCCTTAGCAGTTTCTCCAGCAGCCTCCCAGGAAATATCTCCAGAAGTTTCCCCAGCAGCCTCCCCAGAAATATCCCCAGTCCTCTCCCCAGCAGCTTTCCCACCAGTCTCTCCAGCTTCCTCAGCAGTGCTCCCACCAGTCTCCTCAGAGGTCTCCTTGACAGCCTCCCCGGAGACCTCCCCCAAAGCATCCCCTGCACATTCCCCAGCAGCTGTCTTCTCAACAGTCTCTCCAGCAAATAAGGATGTCAGCAGCTACCCTGAGACCACTGCTGATCTGGAAGAGATCACTGGAGGAGCCACTCCTGCAAGTGGTAAGTCTCTAGATTCTGTTCTACCCCTAGCCACTTCCCAAGAAAAGGCTTTCAAGTTGGTTTTTGTTTTTGTTTTTAGGCCATACTTGGCAATGCTTGGGCCCACTCTCAGTGATGCTGGGGTAGTGGGGCTGGGGGGTGGGAACCTTTTGGTTTCAGGGATTTAATCTGGGCCTCCTGCACATAACACATGCACTTCCAGCCCTTAGAGCCATCTTTTCAGCCCTGGGGGAAAGTTTTGTCTCATGTGACGTTTAGCCCTTCACTGCTGACCAGTTGTTTTCACTGTTTTGAACTCTGGACTTGGTGTCCCCATTTTCCCCAGGCGATGGCCTGAGAAGACGCATTGCTACTCCAGAAGAAGTTCGTCTTCCTCTACAACATGGGTAAATGCTCTAGTTTGCTATAAGCATTTACTGTGACAAATTTACTGAGTGACCCTAGAAGGAGGGACATGCCTCATGATCTAGGAATGAGCTAGACAAGAATGAATTAAGACAGAATGGTAATATTTCTTTTGGAGGGAGGATTTTATGGGGTTCCAGGGATCGAATCGCCTTACCCACTGTAATAGTTGTACACTGGTAGCTGTACTATTTCTATAGTGTTAATTTTTCTTGGGTGAGATTCCTGAACTTTCCTTCTTCTCTCTGGGTTGTCCTCTCATCTGTTCGGTCATAGCTTTATTCAAGAGGCTTCAGCTAGTTTTTTCAAGCCCAACTGGGGATTCTGGAATTTAGCTATCCAAATTTGCTCACATGTGATTATAAGATTAAAGACAATCTCTTTTGTACTTAATTGTGACTGGAGGAGTGACAGTCCCAATTCTTTGGAAATTGTTTTTCTTTTTTTAATTTTTTTTTTCTTTTTGGGTCACACCTGGCGATGCACAGGGGTTACTCCCTACCCGCTGTGCTACCTCTGCAGCCCCTCTTTTTTTTTTCCAAATTTTTAACTTTTTTTTTCTTATTTAATCACTGTGAGACTATTACAAAGCTGTTCATGATTGGATTTCAGTCATACAGTATTCCAGCACTCATCCCTCCACCAGTGTACCATTTCCCAGCACCAGTGCAGTTGTTTGCTTTTGTGTTTGGCCATACCTGGGAGTGCTGGCCAGGGGAGGGTGGCCTACTGGCATAGTGCTAGGGGGTTGCTCTCAGAATTGTGAAGAATCAAAACCTGGTTCCCACAGGCACATGCTCCAGCCCTTTGAACAATCTCCCTAACTTGGAATGTTTTTTAATGCTTTTTGGAAAGGTAAAGGCAGGAGCAGTGCATGACCAGAGTGAACAAGCTACTTTACACCTGGTGCCTTATAGGAAAACCGACCTTCCTATAAGGTCTTCCTTACCTCCATAGATCACTTGTGGTTACCAAGTCTGCTTAAAGTTCTGCTTAAAGACCTAGTTTTAGAATAATCAGTTTTAGAGTAATCGATTGTTTAGAACACAGAATTTCTTACTAAACCTGGCGTACCAATCACTTCTTGCTCCCTGTCTTTCCTGTTTTATTCTCTTGAGTCTTCATCCTTTATTACTTAAAACACAGTGATTATCTTGAATGGCCTCAGGGAGGAGCTTGTGGACCTAAGGCTTGCCTTTGCTTTAGCTTGATTTGATTTGGTGTGGGGGCCCCACCCTGGTGTGCTCAGAGTTGACTCCTGGCTCTGTGCTCAGGGAATCACTCCTGGTAGGCTGGGATTGGAAGTGTTGGGCGGTGGGGGAGTATGATGAGAGACCATATGGATGCTGGGGATCGAACCTGGGTTGGCGCCTTATCTGTTGTATTGTCTTTCAGACCTCCTGAGGCCTACCTTTTGGCCAAGGTTGTGTCTCATGCTGCATTTATGATTGTGGGAAGTTCAGTGAGACAGTGTGGGGAGGATTATCTGCTTAGTGCACTTGTCTCCTGGGTGGCTTGAGAGTGGGTAGGGTGTGACCTGGAGGCAGGGCCCGTGTGCTTTTCTGGCAGGTGGCGGAGAGAGGTGCGCATCAAGAAAGGCAGCCACCGCTGGCAGGGGGAAACCTGGTATTATGGTCCTTGTGGGAAAAGGATGAAACAGTTCCCGGAAGTGATCAAGGTAATGTTGATTTCATGGGATTTTTTTTTTTTTTTTAGGGGACTCAAAGACCTTTCTTGGAGCCCAGTGTAAAAGGCTGTCGTTTATGTGGGCTTGGGCCTATAGCTGGTGCTGGCCAAAGGCCTGATAGATCTCCCTTAATGTCACTTTACCTCCTTCTAGTACTTGAGCCGCAACGTGGTACACAATGTCCGCCGTGAGCATTTCAGTTTTAGTCCCCGTATGCCTGTTGGAGACTTCTTTGAAGAGAGAGACACCCCAGAGGTACAGAGCCAATGGTTAAATACTCTTTGATGCCCAAAACAGGGTTGGTGTACTTGTTATAGCTTCCCTCTTAAAGAATTTAGGTTATGGGGCATTAAAGACTGAGCTCTCTTGGTAACAATGTCTGCCTTATTACCTTAGGGCTTGCAGTGGGTACAGCTCACAGCAGAGGAAATCCCGTCCAGGATTCAGGCAATTACTGGAAAACGGGGCCGACCTCGAAACACTGAGAAGGCCAAGACCACGGAAGTCCCCAAGGTGAAACGGGGGCGAGGTCGGCCACCCAAGGTCAAAGTCACTGATATGTTGACTAAGACAGATAACCGTTTCCTAAAGAAACTGGAGGCCCAAGGTACAGTGGTGTTTCTTATATTGCAATTTTGCTTGCTGTATGAGGTATCCGAAATATTGATGAATTTGCTAATGCCTGGGTTTCCCAGGAGTATGAGTGACTGTATCCAGACAGAATGAATATAGATCTCATTCCCCTCCCTGGAAAACGACAACAGAATTCCAGCATTTCTGTGGTACTTCATGTAAGAAATGTGCTACCACTGGCGAGTTGCTTGGGGATTTTCCTGGTGGAGCTGGGGGGACCTTGCAGTATAGGGATCAAATCTGGGTCTCCTGCATGCAAAATGTGTCATCCAACCCAACCCTTTGAGTTAGCTCTCAGCCTCCTCCTTCCCCCCCTCCCCCATGGTACTCCTTTTTCAGAGGGTGGGTTGGGACCACATGGTGCTAGGGATTAAAGTGGCAAAAAGGCAAGCCTCTTAACCCATGTACTGTCTTCTCTGGTTCCCATGTGGTGCTCCTTAACAGTCAATATGGTCTTTGAATTGATCTCATTAGTGGAACCTTGTGCTGTCCCCAGATACGTTTATGTGTCTCCAGAGCGCTTTCAGATCCGTTCTACTTTCAGCTCCTTACTGGTTTTGGTTGTACAGTTACTGCTCACTGCCACCATCTTGAAGGTTCAGAATTCACATCTAGGGGCCCAGCAAGATAGTACAGTGGGTAAGGTGCTTGCCTTGCATGCACTCAACCTGCATTCATCCCTGGTACTCCATATAGTCTTATGGAGCTCCACCAGGAATGATCCTTAAGTGTAGAATAAAGGGTAAGTTCTGAGTACTGCTGGTTGTGACCCACTAACAAAATAAAGCAAATAATTCACGTTTCTGCCCACATACTAGGGACCAAAGAGGATATCTCCTTTTAATCCTCACCGTCAGTAAATTTATCACATCCTGAAACATACCATTTATCCTGATAAAGGTTTGAAAAACTTTGGGAGTCTTCTGACTCCTATTTGGAGTTGGATTCCACCAAATTCTCACAAAGACATGGGCAAGTCACTTAGATTTTTTTGTTTGTTTTTAAGTGTTATGATTTACAGTACTGTTGATGATAGGGTTTCAAAAAAGGTTACAACACCACACCTTCCAGAGTGTCTGCTTCCTCCATCATCATCTGAGTTCCCTCCCAGCCAGCTCCTTACTGCACCCTGTGGTGGTTTTGTGTTTTGGGCTACACTCGACAGTGCTTAGGGCTTTCTCCTGACTGTACTCAGGGATAACACCTGGTGGTGATCAGGGGACCATATGGGGTATGGGAATTGAACCTATCTGCTGTGTCCAATAAAAGTGCTCTACCTATTGTACTATCTCTTCAGCCCCACTTCTTGGGGGTTTTTTGGGGGGGGTGTCACACCCGGCGATGCTCAGGGGTTACTCCTGGTTCTGCACTCAGGAATTACTCCTGGCGGTGCTCAGGGGACCATATGGGATGCTGGGAATCGAACCCGGGTTGGCCGCGTGCAAGGCAAATGTGCTGTGCTATCACTCCAGCCCCCACTTCTTGGTTTTTAACAAAAACTATAGTAGTTCATCTGCACATGAAATGTTCTCATTTTAAAGGATTACCATACAGATATGAGTGATATGAGTGGTGTGTTTCTATGCCAGAATAGAACAAATAACTGTCATATCAGAAACTTCAGCTCTAAAGCACTATATTATTTGCAAATCATACCTCAATAGTCAAATCTTTATAAAGGAGCACATGTAAATTTGTTTGGTCTACACACAACTGTGCTCAAGCTTATTCCTGACTCTCTGCTCAGGGATCATTCCTAGTTGCTCAGGGGACCATATGGGCTGCCCAGAGTCGAGTCGAATCCACTTCCTCCACATGCAAAGCAAGCAATTTACCTGCTGTGCATTATTTTCTCCAGTCCTGTATTTGTTGTTTTTGGTTTTGGTTTTTTTTTTTTTTTAAGTTTCTGGGCCATACCTGGCATTGCTCAGGATTTACTTCTGTCTCTGTACTCAGGACCATACTGGGTGCCAAGGATTGAACCAGAGGCATGCAAGGCAAATGCCCTATCCACTGTACTATTGCTCTGGCCACTGAATTTCATAGTGGTGGAGCAAGACTTGGTTGCCAAGCATCAGTGTTAACCTGTGTTACACCAGAGGTTAATGTCTTTGTCAGGTAGCCAGGAGAGAGGAGCAGGTAATAAAATGAATCTGTCATTTCAATTTCTAGCATCCCTTCTAGTGAAGTCCAGTCTTCCTGGATAGGACATGCTCTTTATATTTTTTTGTACTACCTATAGGAGATGTCTTCCACATTTCACAACCCCCAACACAACTTTTTTTTAGGGGGAGTGGGTTTTGGGCCACACCTGGCAGTGCTCAGAGCTTACTCCTGACTCTGCACTCAGGAATCATTTGGGTTGCTAGAGATTGAGCCCAGGTGGGCTGCATGTGGCAAGTGTGCCCTACCTGCTGTACTGTTGCTCAGACTTCTCACGACACACTTTTTTGTTTGCTTCGGGGCCACACAGTAAAGTCTCAGGGACTATTACTGGCTCACTGCTCAACTGGTGGTACTTGGGGACCATATGTGGGTGCTGGGAATCAAATTGAAGTCCCAAGGAAGGCAAGCTTCTCTGTGAGTAGTGTGTTTCATTTTCCCCAGTCACCACCAGCTCCCCCCCCCTCCAAAAAAAAAGAAAGAAAAACATTTTATTGTGTGTATTTAATTTTTTCGGTCAGGGACCAGAAAGATAGTACAGTAGATAAGCTCCCCCAATTTTTTCAGTGGGGGTGGGGGGGTGGTCTAGATTCTTTAGTGGAATTGCCTGGAAAGCCAGCTTTGTGGCAGGTACCTGCATGCAGAGCTTGATCTCTGCACCATTTTTCTTTCTGTTCTCACAGACACACTGAGTGAGGAGGACAAATCAAAGATAAGTAAAATCAAAAAGAAGATAAAGCAGAAGGTACAACGGGGAGAATGTCAGACTACTATTCAAGGGCAGGTGAGGGACATCAAATTACAGAGTGGGTCACTTTTTCCTGCAACCTACTCCATCATTTTTTGTCCTCTCAAATCTGCTATCCCCATTGTGGCAGTACACCTGGAATTATTGGGAGATTGATTTAGAAAACTGGACTTCAAAAATAATGTGGGCATCTCCCGGGTGAGAGAATTGATCCACTGCCAACCCCTCATCCTGTCTCTCACCTTCCCTTCCCAGCACCCTTGTTTGTTTTTAATTCCTAGCCCAAGCAGAGATACTTTCAGAGTTTGAGGAGAAATGACTTCCCTTATGGTTTACAGGCCAGAAACAAACGCAAACAAGAGAACAAGAACTTAAAGCAGAAAGAAGCTAAGAAGAAGTCCAAGGTAGGTGCATACAAAAACAAGAAAAACTTTGAAGTTACCAGTCAGATTTTGCAAGATGTGAGTGTTGGTCTTGTTTAATCAGTAGGAGTTTGGGGTTTGTTGCTTTCGGGACTGAGATGGGGAGGATGGAAACCAGGAAAGGTATTGAATAGAATTTTTATGACACGCTTGCTCTCCTTCTCCCTTGGGTTGTGTAGGCTGAGAAGGAGAAGGTGAAAACAAAACAAGAAAAACTGAAGGAAAAAATTAAGAAGGAGAAGAAAGAGAAGGTCAAAATGAAGGAAAAGGAGGAGACACCCAAAGCCAAGGCTGTCTGTAAAGCAGATAAAACCCTGGCCACCCAGAGACGCTTGGAGGAGCGGCAGAGGCAGCAGATGATCCTGGAGGAGATGAAGAAACCCACAGAGGACATGTGTCTCACCGACCACCAGGTAGTGAGGGCAGGGAAACAAGTCCAGAGGCCTGCTGGGCCCTGCTGGACCAGTTGTAGGGCCTCTCAGAAGGATTATAACCTTCTGAACATAGCCCCTTATCGTGTCTCCCAAACCCCATGCCCTCACCCCCCAATCCCTAATGGTTTTTATTCTTTCAGCCCCTGCCGGAGTTCTCACACATCCCTGGTCTGATCCTGCCCAGTGGGACCTTCTCAGACTGTTTGACCATTATAGAGTTCCTGCACAGCTTCGGCAAGGTGCTGGGCTTTGACCCGGCTAAAGATGTGCCCAGCCTAGGGGTCCTACAGGAGGGACTCCTGTGTCAAGGTGACAGCTTGGGAGAGGTGCAAGACCTGCTCGTGCGGCTTCTGAAGGCTGCCCTCTATGACCCTGGCTTGCCCTCCTACTGTCAGGTGAGCTGCTTTCCTAGGCAGGTGGGGAGCTGGGCCAGTGCCGTCTCACTCTCACTCCCAGTTTTTCTTTTCTTTCCTTGCTTTTTGGGGCACACCCAGCAATGCTCAGGGGTTACTCCTGGCTCTGCACTCAGGAATTACTCCTAGTGGTGCTGGAGGGGACCATATGGGATGCCAGGGGGTAGGACCGAACCCGGGATGGCCACAGGTCGGCCAGCCACCATTTGGCCAGTGCAAGGCAAACGCCCTACTCACTGTACTTTTGCTCCGGCCCTCCCAGTTTTTCTTAAGTCAGACACAGCCCCTCCCTAAGGTAATCAGACAAAGAAAGGGAGATGGTTTATTCCTTTTCCTTTCATCTTTGTTTCCCTTTTTCCTGGCCTTTCCTGTTTACACACATACACCCTTGTCTTGTGCTAGCAATTTTACTTTTTCTGGCTTTGTGCTTGGGGCCTGCTCCCATATGCTGGACTGGGGCACCATATGCTGGGGATTGAAACCTGGGCCTCCTGTCTACAGAGCATGTGCTCAGCTCATTGAGCTCTTTCTGGCCCCAGCAACTTTATTCTTTCTTACTGTAGTTTAAAGGGGGTGGGGGTGGGGAGTTCTTATTTTACTTATCCCCATAGTTTATTATATTTTCTACTGTAGTTTACCCAGCTTGTATTCTCTTTTGTTTTTGAACATACTTTATGTAGTCCTTAAAGATCTTGGGGGAGAAGATCTCGGAGATACCACTGACGAGAGACAACGTGTCTGAGATCCTGCGCTGCTTCCTCATGGCGTACGGAGCGGAGCCGGCCCTCTGTGACAGCCTGCGCACTCAACCTTTCCAGGCCCAGCCACCGGAACAGAAGGCCGCAGTGCTGGCCTTCCTTGTACATGAGCTTAATGGCTCCAGCCTCATCATCAAGTGAGGGGCCAGGGTGATGGTGGTTATTTTCTGCCTTGCTCAGAATGGATGTGGGGAGGCCTTAGCTATCTCAAACTGGGAACTGTGTCTGCTGTCCCACTCTGGGGAAGTACCAGTGACTGGGGATTGAACTTCATGGCCTTCACTGGGAGAACTTAAGCCGCCTTCTGTTCACATAATCTAGGCTCTAAGCTGAAGTTCCCTGTTCAGCTGCAGCCCTTTTCCCTTAAGCCTCCCCCCCTTTCTTTTTTAATATATGCGCTGCCATTTCGACCTCAAAAATCTCATTCCCTGTCCCACTACAGTGAGATTGACAAGACTCTGGAGAGTATGTCCAGCTACAGGAAAAACAAGTGGATTGTTGAAGGCCGGCTCCGGAGGTAGGGCCTCCGGGACAGAGGGTAGGCCCAGAGAAAGGAGACAAGGGGAAAGGGGGTAATATAGCTAAGAATTTTGCCTGAAACTCAAGCCCTTAACCCTTCCTGGGTGTTGAGCTCTTCCCCAGGGCTTCAGGTGGCTTAGAGTATAGGGGTTCAGTCTGGCAGCATCCTGTTCCTCATCGTAGTTTCCTCCATCACTGTCTAATTCAAGACTAAAAACTGCTCTGGCGAAGAGAACTGGGCGGCCTGAGATAGAGATGCAAGGGCCAGAGGAAGGCCTGGGACGGAGGCGCAGCTCGCGGATCATGGAGGAGACCAGTGGCATGGAAGAGGAGGAAGAGGAGGAGGCCACGACCGCTGTCCATAGCCGTAGGGGTCGAAGAGATGGAGAGGTAAAAGTTCTCTGACCAAGGAAAGAGGAGAGGAGGTTGGAGAATAAATCCTTTCTTTCTTGAAGGTGGTAATTCTTTTTCTTTGCGTATGCTTATTTCTCCAGATTGATGCCACCACATCTAGCATCCCAGAGCTAGAGCGCCAAATAGAAAAACTCAGCAAGGTAATTGTTTGCAGACTTCCTAAGAGTGGGCCGTGAGGACTGGGCAAGAATCGTTTACCTCTTGAGTTAGGCCCACATGATAACACTTTCGGGGGAGAGGCTGAGGGCCAGCCATCACCCTTCTTTATCCTGAATGAAACCAACACTGTCAGCCTGGAAGTGTGTTTTTTTATTCGCCTTCTCTTTTTTTGCTTACTCAGCGTCAGCTCTTCTTTCGAAAAAAGCTGCTTCATTCATCCCAAATGCTTCGTGCAGTCTCCTTGGGTCAGGACCGCTACAGACGTCGCTACTGGGTGTTGCCTTGTTTGGCTGGTATTTTTGTGGAAGGAACAGAGGGAAGTTTAGGTAGGTGTGTTATGGGAGCCTGAATTGAGTCCTCTATAACAAAAGTTAAACAGTCCCTCCTCTGCTTAGTTATTCTTAGCTTCTTTCATTTGAAAAGAATTATTATATTGGGTTTGGAGCCATAGTACAGCGGATATGTGCGTTTACCTTGCACATAGTAGAACCTGGTTTGATCTCCAGCACCACATGTAATTCCCCCAAGCCTTGCCAAGAGTGATCCCTGAGTGCAGAGCCAGGAGTAAACCCTGAGCACAGCCAGGTATGGCCCCTCCTCCCCCAAAAAAGAGTATAGCTGCCTGGTGAACCAGCTCAGTGGGCTGAGGGTATGCTTTGCATGTGGAAGACCTGGGTTTGATCCCCACCACCATTTGGTCCCTGGAGCATCACCAGGAGCAATTCCCAAGTACAGTCCAGAATAGCGCCCGCCCCCCCCCCCCCCAAAAAAAAGCACCAACTGTGTGCTTCAGTTTCTTCATTTGTAGAATTGAGAATTGCACTAATGATAGTTTTGTACTTCACAGAACTATTTAGAGGATTAAAAATAAGTTAATGCACTGCATGGGCTGGAGCGATAGCACAGCGGGTAGGGCGTTCGCCTTATAAGCGGCCAACATGGCCGACCCGAGTTTGATTCCTCCGCCCCTCTCGGAGAGCCCGGCAAGCTACCGAGAGTATTCAATATGCCAGACACAGTAACAACAAAGTCTCCAATGGAGACGTTACTGGGCCCGCTCGAGCAAATCGACGATCAACGGGAGGGCCTTTACCGTTACCTTTTAATGCACTGCATAGTGCTTAACATGTAGTTCTCAATAAGTTAATTTTATTATCTGGTCACTTAGCAGAACAGTATTTCTTTCCCTAGATACTGTGTTCATTGGTATTAGCCTGGCATTAACCAGTGGTATCTCAAAAAAAGCGGTAATTAAGTCCAAGAGAAAAAGCAAGGAGTATGCAGTTTCCTGTCTGTACACCTCTTTTTCTCCCTTGTACTTACCAGATTGCAATTTTTTGTATTGTTTTGGTGCCATGCATGGTTGTGCTCACATGTGATCTCTGTACCCAAGGATCACTCAGTGTACCATATAGGGTGCTGGGGATCAACCCGGGTCAGACATATGCAAGGCTCTACTTGCTGTACTATGACTCTGGTTCTCAGTGTGCATCATAATTAAGCTTTTCACTCTTTTTGCAGTTCCCGAGAATGTGATAAAGCAGGATCCTGACTCCTTAAAAGTGGCAGCCCATCCAGCACCTCACACAGCCCCCTTCTTGAAGAAGAAGGAATTAGCTGGTTCCAGCACTTCTGCCACTTCTCCTGCCCGGGCACGAGGCCGACCTCGGAAAACTAAACCTGGGTCTCTGCAACCTAAGCACCTTAAATCTCCTGCTAAGGATCAGGGCTCAGAGCAACCCCAGCCCCAACCCCAGCCAGAGACTCAGCCACACCCTCTGCTTCAGGCTTATTCCCAGCCTCAGCCTCAGCCTCAGCCTCAGCCTCAGCCCCAGCCCCAGCCCCAGCCCCAGCTCCAGACCCAGACCCAGACCCAGACCCAGCTCCAGCTCCAGTCCCAGACCCAGACCCAGCCCCAGCCCCAGCCCCAGCCCCAGCCTCAGCCCCTAGGGTTCTTGGAACTAGAAGGTTCCCCTTTGTCTCTGGGTCAGAGCCAGCATGACCTTAGCCAGTCAGCCTTCTTGTCTTGGCTGAGCCAGACTCAGAACCACGGCTCCCTGTTGAGCAGCTCAGTCCTCACACCTGATAGCAGCCCCGGAAAACTGGACCCAGTCCCATCACAGCCACTGGAGGAGCCAGAGCCTGATGAGACAGAGTCCAGCCCTGATGCTCAAGCGTCCTGGTTCAGCTTCTCAGCCCATATGCCCTGCAATGCTGCTCCCACACCGCCTCCTGCAGTTTCAGAGGACCAGACCACTCCCTCCCCTCAACTGCCAGCCTCTTCCAAGCCAGTAAGCAGCCACACTAAGCGTGCACTTGATTCCTGGGCTATGGGTTGTGCCTATAGTTGGAGAGCTGCAAAGGCCATTGGGATCCTGTGAACACAAACTGCCCCTTATCCCTTTGGCACACTCCTTCTCATTCACAGGTGGATAGTGCTACAAATCCCTGTTCTCTGTTGCAGCTCTCTTCTACTCCCTTGTCTGGGGTGGCCACAAAGAGGCGAGCCGGAGAGCCTGGAGAAACACTGCAGAATTCCACAGGAATGGGACAGCCAAAACGGAGGGGGAGACCCCCCAGCAAGTTCTTCAAACAGATGGAGCAGCGTTACCTAACCCAGCTGACTGCCCAGCCTGTCCCGCCTGGTCAGTGACCCTGGAGTGAAGTGGGGCAAGAAGAGAGGTAGGGCAGCATGAAGGGATCTTAGCTGGGTCCCACTCCCCAACCCACACACACAATCTTTGTAGAGATGCGCTCAGGCTGGTGGTGGATCCGAGATCCTGAGACGTTGGAGGCCATGCTCAAGGCCCTGCACCCCCGAGGCATTCGGGAGAAGGCACTTCACAAACACCTAAACAAGCACAGGGACTTCTTACAGGAAGTCTGCCTACGCCCCTCCACTGGTAAGCTTGCTGCACTGCCGCCAGGCTGAGTGAGGCCCCTGGGTAAATGAGGACCTGCAACTGTGGCCAGTGGGCTGAAGAGTCTGTCTCTTTGCTTTTGCAGACCCCATCTTTGAGCCCAGTCAACTTCGTGTCTTTCAAGAAGGGATTATGAACTGGTCCCCCAAAGAGAAGACATACGAGACAGACCTGGCTGTGCTGCAGTGGGTTGAGGAGCTGGAACAGCGGGTTATCCAATCTGATCTACAGATTCGGGTACATAAGGGCTGTGGAGGGCATTAACTGCTTGTACTCTTATTAGAAAATACTCTGGGTCTCCATTTTACAAGGTTACAAGGACTCTGCCAAGATCTGTAGCGCTGTGCACTGTCCTCCCATTCATTGATTTGCTCAAGCGGGCACCAGTAACGTCTCCATTGTGAAACTTGTTACTGTTTTTTTGCATATCGAATACACCATGGGGAGCTTTCCAGGTTCTGCTGCGCAGGCAGGATACTCTTCGATAGCTTGCTGGGCTCTCAGAGGGATGGAGGAATCGAACCCAGGTCGGCCATGTGCAAGGCAAACACCCTACCTGCTGTGCTATTGCTCCAGTCCACCCAGGATTTAGTGGTCATTTTTTATTACTTTAATTGCTATGGGGAGGGTGGACCAAACCCAGAGGTGGTCAGTGAAACCATTTCTGGCTTTGTGCTCTCAGTGACCCATGGTGGTGCTCAGGGAACATAAATGGCGCCTGGGATTCAAACCAGGGTCACTGCTGCTGCAGCCTCAGGCAGGGGAAGTACCTCACTTACCATAGTCATATATTTCTGTAATGAGGGTTTTTGTTTTTGTTTTTTATGGTAATGGTGGGGCACACTTTGACCTGCCGCTGTGTTCAGGGGCAGGAATCAAACGTGGAGGTCCCACATGCAAAGCTTCACCTCCAGCCTTTTTAGCCGTTTCCCCAGCCCACAGTGAGGTATTTTATTTCTGTTGTACCTGTAGGGTTGGACATGCCCTAGCCCAGACTCTACTCGTGAAGATCTGTCCTACTGTGAGCATCTCTCCGACTCTCAAGAGGATCTCACCTGGCGAGGTCGAGGCCGAGAAGGTCTGGCACCCCAGCGTAAAGCCACAAACCCTCTAGACTTGGCTGTGACGAGGCTGGCTGCTCTCGAGCAGAACGTGGAGCGGCGGTATCTGCGGGAGCCCCTCTGGCCTGCACATGAGGTGGTGTTGGAGAAGGCCCTGCTCAGCACGCCCAACAGTGCCCCCCAGTGCACCACTGCAGAAATGTAAGTGCTCGTCACCTCCCGCCCCTCTCCTCTTCCGGAGTTAGGGGTAAGTTCCCTCGGTAAAGGATCCTGCTGCTTGCTCATAGATCGCCACTTTCTCTGTCCAGATCATATGAGATTACCCCTCGGATTCGAGCCTGGCGCCAGACGCTGGAGCGGTGCAGGAGTGCAGCCCAGGTGTGCCTGTGCCTGAGCCAGCTGGAGAGGTCCATTGCCTGGGAGAAGTCTGTCAACAAAGTGGTGAGAAGGCAGAGCCAGCTTGGGGTGGGGGTCATAAGCTGTTGATGCTTGAGGGTTAACTGTTCACCTCACAATCTTGGTCCAGACCTGTCTAGTCTGCCGGAAGGGTGACAATGACGAGTTTCTTCTGCTTTGTGATGGATGTGACCGTGGCTGCCATATTTACTGCCATCGACCCAAGATGGAGGTGGTCCCAGAAGGAGATTGGTTCTGTGCTGTCTGTTTGGCCCAGGTGAGGTTCTGTTCTCTAATTTCCACTCCCAGTTGACGTATCATTTACCCCCAGTCCTACAGACTCCCTTCTCACCCTCCCTTGGTCTCTCCTTGGAAGGCATGCCAGGCCGTACTGTGGAACTTGCGTTCTTGGCTGGAGAGATAGTACAGGGGTGAAGGCCCTTGCTTTGGATGCAGCCAACCTTGGTTTTTATCCCTGGCACCAATTATAGCAACCCTTCCACTACCACCAGAAGTGATTCCTGAACCATGTAGGCAGTAGTAAGCCCTGAGTACAACTGTGTGTGTGATCACCCCCACAAAAGGTCGGGTGGGGAAGACTTGGGGTCTTGTTCCTTTGGACAGTCACAGTCTTTACTTTGTTTCTGGTTTGGTTTTGGGGCCACACCTGGCATTGCTCAGAGGTTACTACTTCTGGCTCTGCAGTCAGGAATCACTCCTGGAGGTGCTTGGTGAGAACCATACGGGGTGCCAGGGATCAAGCTCTTAGACATTGACCATATCTAAGACAAGTGCCCTTCTTGCTGAACTATCGCTTTAGTCCCCATTGACAGGTCACAAGTTCTTTAGTCTAAGTTGCTTTCTCCTCTGAAACTGGGTTGAGTAAATTCTCGGGTTATGTGTGAAGTAACGTGAGGAGACAGTCACGCTTAAGCAGGGATTGTAATCAGCTAGAGGGCAAGCAGAGTATGTTCTGTAGCTGAGTTCTTTTCTCTTCTCCTCAGCATGTAGAGGGAGAATTCATCCAGAAACCTGGTTTCCCAAAGCGAGGCCAGAAGCGGAAAAGCAGTTACATGCTGAGCTTCCCAGAGGGTGATGGCCGCCGACGCCGAGTACTGTCAAGGGGCCGAGAAAGCCCAGCAGTGCCTCGGTACTCAGAGGACGGGCTCTCCCCCTCCAAGCGGCGGCGACTTTCTATGCGAAACCACCAGAGTGATCTCACATTCTGCGAGTGAGTTGAATTCTGGGGACAGCTGGTCCTGCCTCTGCCAAGCAAAGGGCTGGGAGCTTCCCAAGATGCAGCAGTGCCTCCCTCTCTCGTTGTAGGATTATCTTGATGGAGATGGAGTCCCATGATGCAGCCTGGCCTTTCCTGGAGCCTGTTAACCCACGGTTGGTGAGCGGCTACCGGCGGATCATCAAGAACCCCATGGACTTTTCCACCATGCGAGAGAGGCTGCTCCGGGGAGGGTAGGTGGTCGTCGGTCCCTGTCCAGCTCTTTTGTTACTGTTGGACCCTCCTGCCCAACTCACAGCTCTGCCTCCACCCCCGCCCAGGTACACGAGTTCAGAGGAGTTCGCAGCAGATGCGCTCTTGGTCTTTGACAACTGCCAGACCTTCAATGAAGATGATTCCGAAGTGGGCAAGGCCGGGCACATCATGCGCCGCTTCTTTGAGAGCCGCTGGGAGGAATTTTATCAGGGAAAACAGGCCAATCTGTGAGGCGAGGGAGATGGGAGCGTCCCTTGTGGCATTCCCCCCCGCCCCCCCTTGAAACAAAACAACCTGCCATTCTCACTCTGCTGATGCTGCCCTGGGTCCAGACTCAAGTCAGAGATAGAACCCGTGGCAGCGCCCTCCATCTTGCCCCTCGATCCCTTTTCCCTTTTCTCCTCTGGCTCCTCAAACAAGAGGGGCAGAAATGAGGTCCTTCTGGACTGAAAGCCAAAAAAAGAAAGAAAAAAATAATTTTTCCTTTCTGTTCTTTTTTCTAATTGAAAAATGAGGAGGAAAGAAGTCCCTCCTTCCTCCTCCCAGCTCCCTCTCCTTCCCTGTACGCGCCCCGGCAGCCTGGGGCTATTTAACAATAGCAATAGTTCTAGTGAATGTGTGAAACCGAGAAACACTCTGTACTGTGTGTGGACCCGCAGTGACGGCCAGTAAAGTGGACTTAACTCCCAAGTGTGTCGAGCCGGACACCGGGCCCTGAACATGCTGCTTCCATGTTCAGTCCCTCCCTGCTTCTCACTTTCTTTCCATTTTTCTTCACACCCCCCCTTTTTTCAGATTTTCTCTCATCCAATAATGTAAAACTATCGTGTACGGGTTTCTCCATGCTTCTTTTTTCTTTGTCCGAATCATTTTTCCCTTAAGGGAAAAAGTGTTCAGAGGTCCCTGTCTTTGTCTTTGTCCTCATCTTTCAATAGCTATGCCCTGTATAATGTTCGATACTCCTCATGTGCTGAGTTTCTGGCCTTTTCTGAAACTCAGCAGCTGGGGACAGGGCAGGGAAGGCACCCAGGGCCTCCCGGCCTCCCTCCCCATCTCTTACCCGAACTTCCCTCTTGGGAACTCCTCAGGGACAACTACTGCTGAGTTTGGGCACACCCCCAAGATGGAGACCAGGTAGCAATCGACTGGCCTCAGAGAGAGAGGCGTGTGTGTTATGTGGCATTGTGTTGTGTGTGGTGTGTGTGTGTGTGTGTGTGTGTGTGTGTGTGTGCAAGAGAGAGAGAGAAAGCCGTGAATGGGTCCGTGTCTGATGGCATCCGTTCCATTTCCCCCCGTATCTGTTTTTAGCCCCACCTTTTCGGTTGTTCTGAACCACCACTTGTTGTCTTGGGAAGCCACAGGAACAGTTTTTTCTGGGTACAAGTCTTGTCTCCTCTCTCTCCCAGTCATTTCTGTTCCAGCCTCTTCAAACTGTGCAATCTTTCAGCAGGAACTCCCTCTCCTTTCGGTAGCTTTGAGCGCTGAGCTTTTGCAGGGAGAGGGCTAGAACTGGATCTTCTCCTCATCCCATGAGCTTCTGTGGGTTTAGTTGTGCTTTCCTTCCCTTCCCTGCTTCATCCCCCAGACCCCTTCCCTAGCAGCAGAGACTCCAGAGCACAAGAGAGGAGGGAGGAAGGGTTCTGGGTCCACCACTGCCCTACATATGACTGTCCAAATTCAGCCCCAACATGTGAGAGGAAAGCTGCTAACTCCCAGCTATAGCCATGGGCCCCAGGCCCCCTGCTTTCCTGTTCAGCAGAGCCCCTCCCATCAGAGATACGGGTACTTGCACTGGGGAGGTGGCTGCTGGCTGGCCCAAGCAGAGAGCTGAGGTGTCCACGCAACGTGCCATTGGTGGGGGAGGGGGTGCCAGGCAAGACGCGCATTCCCTTGTACTTCTGGCAGCACTGAATAGCCACTGAAGGGGGTGGGGGCAGTGTAGGTCCTGGGGCAGCCCCTTTTTTATTCCTTTATGCCCCTTCCCCCCATAGCCTATTTCTAAAGTCGCCTTTTCTGTCAGAAAAACCTCAGAACTTTTAATTTTATTTGAAATTTTTTTTTGCTTTTAAGAGGTGGATTGAAGAATATTTGAATTGACTTTATATTATGCATAAATATTTATATTTTATCTAAATAACTGCGCTGTAACAAACTTTGTGTTAGTCAAACGTTGGAACTGTTAGAGCTGGGGGCTCTGCTTTCTCCTCGTGACAGTTTTCCCCAGCATACGACGTACTAATTGGATTGGAGTGAGTTGGACGGGGGAGCGAAGTCTCAGCTGTTCTGCTTCGTGTTCCTCTCCTAGCGCCATCTCTCTCCTATGGGACCAGGCACTCTGAAGGTGGGGTGGAGTCCTAGCCACGGGTTTGAAGAAGTGGGGGGGGGGGGCGTGATCAAGGGCCATTTCTCACTTTTCTTTCTTAATCTACACTGCCCCTTGAGCTAGGTGGATATTTTCTTGATAAATAAAAGAGTATTTGGTAGGGAAGGCAGGTTAAAAAAAAAACCCACCTCCCTGCCCCTTTGTCTCCCTCCCCCATCAGTCTGGAAACAGGAAGAAACCACACCATCCACACCAACAAGTTTCCATGTTCCTTTTACGACAAAAGGGACTTGACTTTTTATATAACCAAATGTGGTGTTTTAGTGACTTTTTGATAATGTACAGTTTTTTGTGAATTTAAATTTATTTCTTTCTATATTTTTAGGACCAATCTCATTTTTAATAAGGTTAAAAGAAAAGTAAAAAAAACTCTAGATAAAAAACCTCCTGTTTTTGCCATGTGATGTTCCACAAGTGCAGCTGTAGAAAAAGTGCTTGTCAGTTGAATAAAAACCACATTTGATAGAGATTCCAAAGCCTCTGTGTATTCATCTTGCCCTCGGCATAGGTGTCCCGCGTGCCTGTGGTGACTCCTAAGCTTGTAAAGTGAATCCCCAAACCTCCAAGGCAGACCTGACCTTGTACGAGCAGCATCCAGAGCACAATTCCGTGTTCCTACAACTTGTTGCTGTACTCTATTTAGGAAGGAAGATTTTTATGTTGGGGGGGGGCTTTGGGAGGTTTGGGTCACTCTCAGTGGTGCTCGGGAATTACTCCTGGCAGGGGACTTTAGGAGATGTTAGGGATTGAACCCATCTCAGCCTCATGCAAAACAAACATCCAGCCTGCTGTGCTATTGTTCCCGCCCCAGGAAGCATGTTCTTATTGCTGCAGCAAGATCTAGAACAATGCCTGGTTGCTGCCTGTGCTCCATGGTAGCATATAGGTTCTTTTTCCAACTTAACAGCCTCCCAACCATGAGAAAGACACCAGGAAGCAGATTATTATGGGGGTGGGGAGGTGTTTGTATTTGGGCAACACCTCGCAATACTTAGGGGTTACTCCTGGCTCTGTGCTCAGAATTACTCCTGGCGGTACTCAAGGGACCATATGGACCACATGGGATGTCGGGAATTGAACCTGGCTCAGCCATGGGCAAGGCAAGTGCCCTGTCTACTGTACTCTCTCTCTGCCCCCAGATTCTTGTGTTTTAAGAAAACGAGAATTAAAGTAGAAGGGTTACATTGGCACAGGCTTGAGGATTGTAAACCTGAAGTCTGAATAATGGAAAAATTTACAAAATGAGTATAAATTCCGCTTCTTTTTCAAATTGGTAAGTTACGGGCTATACAGCAGGTAGGGCTTGTGCCTCGTCTACCCAGGTTGATTCCCAGCACCCCATATGGTCTTCTAAGCCCAGCCAGGTAGCACAGAGCCAGGAGTAAGTGCTGAGTACTGCCAGTTATGACCCAGGAACAAGGTGCTCCACCGAGAAATGGGATAGAAACAACAGGAATGAGGGGAGGAGGCGGCAAAGGTTACTTGTCCTGGGAGTGAACCCTCCACCTGGAATACGGCAGAGCAGGAACAGCTGTTTCCTGCCCTATAAAAATCAAACCCACAGGCCTGGGGGTTAGAGCTCATACCCTGCACACACCCCACTTGCATCTGATCCACAGCACCAGAGTCCCCTGAGCATTGCCAGATGTAGCTCTGAACGCCAATGAGCAGCATCACTGGGTGTAGTCCTGGAGATTTCATACTTCAGGGTGCCCTGGGTAATTTCCGGTACCAGAGGTCCTGAGCAGCACCTTATTTTAGCGCCCTTGCATTGAATTGCTGGCTTGGTCAGCCATGAACTACTAGATGTTGGTCCATGGGCCCTCTGAGCACCGTTTGGAAGCCAGGAAAAAAACCCAAACGCTTGATTACCTTTAGCTACAATAGCAGATACCCACAACTCTCACCCTCTTAAAAATCTGAATTCTATTCTTAAATTAATGTTGCCATAGGTGCCCCCAAGCCTTACTCCTCATTAAACAGCCTGAAATAGCAAGAGCAGACCAAAAAATTCCCACTGTCATAGAGTGATGAGTGAACTAAAAATCCAGAAAAAGATAATTCCAGAAACAAACAGGAATTTTTTTTTTTTTTTTTTTTTTTTTGCTTTTTGGGTCACACCCAGCGATGCTCAGGGGTTACTCCGGAATTGCTCCTGCACTCAGGAATTGCTCCTGGCGATGCTCGGGGGACCATATGGGATGCTGGGAATCGAACCTGTGTTGGTCATGTTGGCTGCGTGCAAGGCAAACGCCCTACCCGCTGTGCTATCGTTCCAGCCCCTCAAACAGGAATTTTTATATATGTTCATGGGACTTACTCCTGGCTCTGTGGTAAGGGGTCACCCTGGCAATGCAGTGCCAGGGACTGAAAGGCGGGCGAAGGGGGAGGTGTCGGCCCGTGCAAGGCAAGTATCTTAACTCTGGCTCTAATTTCTCTGCAATCAATCAAGTGCCCTTTCTAGCCCCCAACTTTGTATTATGAAGGGAAGACTGCACAGGAAGGCTATAGATGGAGTGGATGCTTATGTCATTGAGTTAGAGGTAGTTCTGGGATGTGCTTAGAGAAGGGAGCTTTTATAACAAGTGGCTATGTCGATGAGAAAGCTGTGATAGCCAGGGAGCACCAGCCAGACTTATCCACTTGTCAAGTGGAAATCAACCCTAGGAAGAGGCAGCAGAATTTATCCATCAGAAGAATCCATCCAGTCTTGGCTGCTAAACGAAGGTCCTTTGATAGAATGGACCCATAATATTAGTAGTGTAGAAATGGAATATTTTGCATAAGAGGGAATCAGGGAGACTCAGTGTGACAAGGCACAAGATTTTAAGAGTCCATACAAGTCTGACCTTAACATCTGAAGCTGGTTTAGCCGAGTCTGGGACAAATCTGGACCTGACCTCTACCCATGTTTATGGCCCTTGGTTAGGAATGCACTCCTGAGTGCAGAGCCACTGCTCTGCCAGAAGGTGGGTTACATACCTCACTGCACACTTGGGGCACTAGCTAGGTGCCTAACTGCACCTTTGTGGTTTTTTTGGTGTGTGTTTTGTTTTGGGGCCACACCCAGCGATGCACTGGGGTTATTCCTTGTTTTGCACTCAGGAATTATTCCTGTTGGACCATATAGGCTGCTGGAAATTGAACCCGGGCCAGCTGTGTGCAAGGCAAATGCCGTGCACATTGTACTCTTTCTCCATCCCCCTTCACTACACCATTGAGGTATAAAATAGTCACACACACACATATAGGCCCTCCTCCCATTGGAGCAGCAGGGAGTAAGTATTGCTGGTACCAAGGGAGGGTGTGTTTACCGAGCAGTGAGTTTGGAGACGAGATGGAACTGAGCAATAGCCCTATTTAAAGGTCAGTTCTCCAGCCAAGTCCAGTGTTCATCCTCAGTGCAAGTCATTTCCTTCTACCACCCCATCTGTTGCTGACTAGGGCGATGTGGCTTCCTAGTCTGTAGAGCTCATCAGTCGTTAGTTAAGAGATACTCTTGAAGTACCACATGCCAGAGCACATGCTGCCTGCACCTCTCTTGAGATGTGGACCTTGATGCTTCAGTACTGGCTCTTCCCACTCTGGAGAAGCCTGTGTTCTCTCTTGAGCACATAACTGAGCTCTCTCCTTAGTCTCCTTTATTACCCAGTAAATTTGTTATTCCTCAAGAAAGAAAAGCAAATACACTTGGGTACCTGCTGAGAGTGCTGGAGGCCCAGATTCAACTCCTGTCACCACGTGGTCCCTGGGCAGCTCCAGGGGCAGCCCTGAGAGCAGCTGGGTGTGGCCCCTCCAATAATGAAGGAAAAACTCAGAGACTTACAAGGCCTTTCTTGCAAGTGTAATTGCTTATTCAGTCCTCAGTGCCTCCATGTGCACCAAGTGCAATCCTGGTAGGTCTGATTCTGGGCGCGCTGCTAAGTGCCTTGAACATTCTCTAGCTGTACTGCCTGCCCTAGGTGGGACTTAAAACTTCTGCACAACTGAAAACACGTGAGCAGCGTGAGCAGGGAGTGCGACCTCTAGTGAGCATGTGAGTAAGTACACCAGTAGAGGAGTGAGCCTCATGGCCCTGGGTAAGCACTGCAGTCTGCAACCCCTGGCCAGCAGCACAATTAAAAGTGTGAGGGGGCTAGAGAGGATAGCATGCAGCGCACTTGCCTGGCATACAGCCAACTGGGTTCAATCCCATGGTCCCGAGTACGGCAAAGGATGACCCCTGACCACAAGCCAGGAGTAAACTCTTAGCACAGTTGATAAGGCCCCAAAACAACAAAAAAGTGAGGGGCCAGGAAAATAGCATAGGTCTTAGGGCTCATGGCTTGCATGCTTCCAACCTGGTTTCATTTCCCTGCATTGCATGACCTGAGCACCCCCAGGTATCTCCCTGAAGGCTCCAATCTGCTAGGATAGCCCTGGTGATTCCCAACCATAGGGCCAAAGCAGTACTGCACCATCTTTAGGCTGTAGCATTGGATCATCTGGCCTGGTTGGTTGAGAATTGCCAGGAATTGCCCCTGGGCTCTGCTGAGCACCGTCTGGGAGCCTCTTACCCCCTCTCCCCCCAAAAAAAGAATGTAATAGCATGTGTGAGCACCAGAGCCAGGCATCTGCACAAACCCTCGTCAGAACAACAATAAAAGCAAGGGGGGTCGAGGATAATAAAGCAGGTTAGGCGCTTGCCTCGAACTTGGACGACCTGGGCTTGATTCCCGGCATATGTGATCCCTGAGTGCAGAGCTTGGCTTGGAGTAAGCCTGGGCACTGCCAGGTGTGGCTTGAAAAGAAAACAGATGAGACGGTGGGAGGGAGATTAGAAATAAAAACCCTCTGAAAAGCCATCTCTCTGTTGCCAGTCCTGCGTCTTTTCTCCCCTTGTTTCCTCTGACTGCAGGGTAAGTCTTGATTGGAGGCGCAGGACTGCCCAGTGTACTGTAGGTGTTCAGCATTCTGTAGTCCACACAACTCACCCCCAAGAATGACAAACGGGTATCTGCAATGCCACGTGGCTGGGAGGAGACTAAGCTGCCTCCTTGAGCAACACTGACCTGGAGGTGAGGCGTCTGTTACTCCTCAATGTGGCCACCATCCAGCGCCGTCCAGCACGGCCACAGTTGCAAAGGCTCCAAGCCGTGCTGGGGGAAGGGAGCAGCCCAGATCCCCCAGAAAGATGGACTGGACTGCAGGTGCTTCAGAAAGGCACTTCCTAGCAGGTGCTGCCTCGGCAGTGAGACAGAGAAGTCACTCAGCCCACCCTTGCCAAACTTGCTCAGGAATTGGTCTTTATCCAAATGTGACTCAAGGAGAGGCAGCTGCGGATCCTCTCCTTTAGAGAACTAAGTCAAATCCCAGCTTCCTGCACTCAGGGTTTAGTCTTTTCTCCTAGATGGGACAGACGACTATGAGAAATGGACCGTTGCCTGCTTACCATTCAGCCTTTTTTCTTGGCCCTCTCCAAATTTTTATACAGTACTTCATTCCAAAAAATAAATTCAGTGGCCAGGAAGGTAGTACAAAGCAGGTACCCAATTTGGGTTTGATTCTCAGCACCACAGGACCTACCAAGCACCACTGAATATAACCCTGGAAACACCTGAACATTGCCAAGTGTAGCCTGGAGGCCCTATGTACTACTGGGTGTGGCCCTGGTGGTCCTTGGCAGGCTGCACCCATAGGTCCTAGCACTGAACCACTGGCCTAGTAGACCAGTAGTTGCAAGAAGCACCTGAGCCCCACTCAGGAGCTCCCCCACAACACACAAAAGTCACAAAATGAAAACTTGTTTAAAGGTTAGAGAACAGTAGGTAGACGCCACTGCATGGATGAAAGAAGACATGTGAGGATAGAGGGGGCATGTGAGATGAGAACTTTATACAACAAAACTTTGAAGTCTGAACACACACCCAAAAAATCCATAACTGAGAAGGGTCCACGGCAGGACCTGTCGGCGTTCTAGCACCCGACATCTTTTTGTTTCTCTTTGAAGAAATAGTAACTTTTAAAGTCTTCCCAAATGACTCCAACATGTCCAAAATTCATATATAAAGATGAGAAGATCAAGCACCATGTTTGGTGTGGGAAAGAGTATTATGGTTAAAAACAAAACATGAAACTTGCTTTGCAGAAGTGTTTCTGATCTTGAACATAGCATCGTGTGCCAGTCCCAGGCTCAGCGGGGGCAGAGCAGGAATGCCGAGGGTCGAGGAGTGCCCCGGGTCGGAGCAGACGCTTCCTTCCACGGCCCAGCCTGTGAGCAGTGTCGGGCCTCAGCAGAGACCACAGGCAGTTTGGTTCTGGGTCAGCCCCCTGGAATCGGAGCATCCACACTGGCAGTTATTCCTTTATGTTCAACAGCGGCAGGAGGGGTGTCCAAAAGGGGCGTAAGTCAGAAGCAGGGTGCAGACAGGAGAACTCTGCGCCTCAGCGTGGGGTTCTCCCTGTCGTTACTTATTGAACTGGAAAGCACAGAGGCCGAGGTCTGATGGGGCATCCAGCGTCACTTGATGTTGCTGGCCACTGCGCTCCTGTAGTATGGCCAAGGGAAGACAGTCACCTGGTGCTTGCCTTTCCACACCTTCCACCAAAGCAGCCCCCTCCTCCCCCCTACCCCCCCCCCCCGCCAGCTGTGCACTAGTGCACTTCCACAGTTCCACTTGCCAACACCTTGACTCCCGCTTCCAGAGACAACTGTTGGTACCCGCCAGCATTCTGGCACTAGCAACCAATGAGCCAAATGTGAGAAAGAAACTCACTCAAGGACACAAAGTCTCTTCTTCCTTCACTTTTCATACACCTATCAGCTACTGTGAACACAGACTTAGCAGCCTTGTGAGAGAAAAATGTTGATCAGGAGGAAACTGGTCTCTATTCTGTTCTCACTCCAAAGAGGCAATAAAGCTCTTACCTCAGCCGAAACACCAGAAGGCAGCACGGGGGCATACTGGGAGAGGTAAGCTCCATGCACTGCTGCAGCTGTTGGCATGTACTAGAATGGAAAACATCAAGAGGACGGTCTTGGGAGCTACGTTTAAAGCACCTGGGGGAACTTGAAAAAAGTGCTCATTCCTGTGGTCTATTCCCAGAGATTCAAATTTAACAATGTTAAAAAAAAAAAAAACACTTTAGGCAGATGGAGAGATAGTATAGTGTACCGACCGAGCACTTACTTGCCTTGCATGGAGTCTATCCAGGTTCAATCCCACCATCACGTATTCCGTGAAAACTGCCAGGAGTGTCCCTGAGCACAGCCAGCTGTGCCCAACCCCCGCAATAAACAATAAATAGAAGTACTTTAGGTACTTCTTAACTAGCTTTGAGAAACTTCTACATGACTTTCTTTTGCTGTCTCTGCTGATGCCTACTTTTCCAGTATTCTTTGCCTTTAAGCAAATCAGAATGGAGCAGACTTACAAGAAATCAAGTTTCAATCATTCTTCATTACTCTTTTTGCTAGTTTGTTTTTCAGCCACATCCCACTGTGCTCAGTCGGGGCTCACTCCTGGCTCTACCTTCAGGGGTAATCGTGGGGATCATACGTGACACCAGGGACCGAACCTGGGTCAGCTGCATGCAAGGCAAGTGCCCTACACACTGCACAATTGCTTTGCGTACCCTTGTTATCAAGATGATAACAAGGGTCCCCTGGCGCCATGTAATCCCATCAACAGCCAAGACCTAGAGACTATAAAACCCAGCTCCCGGAAGCGCGCGACATCGTATTATCTCATTCCTACTTTGGACAAACTGGCAGGCTACCGAATGTAACTGCCCACACGGCAGAGTCTGGCAAACTCCCCGTGGTGTACCCAATATGCCAAATACCAGTAACAATGATGGGTCTCATTCTCCTAACCCTCGAAGAGCCTTTAATATGGCACTTTAAAAAAAAAAATCTCAGGGCTAGGAAGAAGGAGACGTTACTGGGGCCCGCTCAGGGCAATCGACGAACAACAGGATGGTCGTGATCGTGATCGTTATCATTTTGATAGAAATTTTATAAAATGTGCACAATCTCTTAGAGAAACCAGTATGTAAACAGAAGTACCAGCACATCATTAATTACTTGGGACATTATTCAGTGAGTTTCATGAGGAGGATTCAGTACGGAGGAGAGAGCTAACGGGCTCTCTCCTCCGTACTGGAATGGCGTACAGGAATGGCGATATTCCTGACTCATGAATTTGTAGCTTTTTTATTTCAAGTCTGCCCTTAGTGACATACTGAATCCCACCCTCATTTGCAGGTATTGAGACTGAGAGTAATGCAGTAATAGGGAATTCCCGCTCTGTGGGAGGGAGTCTGTGGTCATCTATGTCCTGAGTTACCATGGCAGTGCCGCTGAGGGACAGGTGGCCCAGCTGCTGGGTAAGAGGTGTCATCATGGAGGCAGGCTGGAGTGAAATGGGGTGATCCATCCCTGGGGTCAGAACTGAACCCTAGAGGCAGCAATAAAGGACAGAATTAGCTTCCTGTGCCATGAAGCAGTGATTCCTGGAGAACAGGAAGGAGAGCTGAGACAGACAATCCGGGGAATGACAGGAGAGCAGCTGCACGATAGAAATCAGTGTTCTGCACCTGAGTCTGGAGGGACCTTTGTCCAAGAAGAGCACACACACAAAATTTATGTTCCTAGAACTAGGCTGCACAAGGAACTGAACCAAAATTCACACCTGTATCTTCCATCAAGTTTTTTTTTTAAACAATACGTCTGGCTGTGGTTTGGGCCCACTTCTCAGCACTCACTGAAGGCTGCATCCAAGGTCGGTTAGGTGTTGTAGAGATATCTGAGATACTTTCTAAGGCAAGCAAAAATGAATAACAAGGTTAATAGTTTAGAAACTATGATTTTTCCAATGATAATCCTGTTCAGCAACTGCCCCTCCACTTGGAGTGGTCATCTCAGACAATAGAAATATTAAGAATAAGCTGCTTAAAGAGTATTAACAGGTCTAATATCTCAACAAATCAGACAGTCTGAAAAGAATACATGCCTGGCATATGTGTGGCTCTGGCTTGACTGGTATTGAAAAAGAAAAGATAAACACAGAGTTACTATGTAACCCAGCAGTTCTACCTCTGGGAACTATAAGAGAGATATAAGACTATATGCCCATACAAAAATTATACATTGTTCACAGCAGCATTATTTATAACATCTCAAACAGCTATCAACTGGTAATTGAATTGAAAATTTATGTGTAGGGATTAGAGAGATGGCTCAGTGGGCTGGAGTGCATCCTTTGCATGTGGAAGGTTCAATCCCATCTACCGCATGGTCCCCTGAGCACTTTCAGGATCAACCCCAGAGCACTGAGCACAGACAAGTGTGGCCTCAAAACAACACAAAACAAAAATGTATTAACAAGATTCATCCATAAAAATATAAAATATGGGCCTGGAGAGATAGAACAGTGGTAAGTTGCTTGCCGTGTACACAGTTGACCTAGGTTTGATCCAGCACCTCATATGGCCTCCTAAGCACTGCCAGAACTCAGGATATAAATGTTCTGGAATTATATGATGGTGATCATTGCATAATTTTTTGCTTGTTTTTGGGCCACACCCAGAGGTGTTCAAGGCTTACTCCTGGCTCTATGTTTAGGGATCACTCCTGGCTGGGTTGAGGGGACCATATGGGTGCCAGGGACTGAACCAGGGTTGGCCATGTGCAAGCACCCTACCCACTGTACTATCACTCTGGCCCCTGCATAACTTTTTGAATACACTAACAACTACTGACTTGTACAGTTTGAGAGAGTGAATTTTACATTATATTAATTATATGTAAAATTGATGTATTTTGTTTGGTACTAGAGATTGAAACCAGAGCAGAGCCTCACACATCCAAAGCATACACTCGATGTCTCTCAGGCTCATCATGGCTTTTTTCTCTTTTTGCTAGTTTGTGCTTGTATTTTTCCTACTCTATCTTAAAATTGAAAAAAAAAAAAGGGCCAGAGAAATAGCATGCATAGGTGTTAAAGCATTTGCCTTGCATGCAGCTGACTTCATTTTCATCCCCAGCTCTGCATATGGTCCCCTAAGCACTGTCAGGAGTGAGTGATCCCTGAGCATAGACCAGGAGTAAGCCCTGAACACCATCGGGTGTGGCCTAAAAACCGAAAATAAAATAAATAAAAAGCAGTAAGGAACTAGAAATGTATTATAAAATACAAGTATTTTGGGGGGCAGGGGGAAGGAATTCCCACATGATGTTCAGGTGGCCAGGGACCAGAGCCAGCTGGTTGATTAGTGTGAAGGTCAAAGATGCAGTGCTGATCTGGTCATGCAGTGCTGGGGATTATTCTGGGAGCTCCCAGGGCCACACCCAGCAATGCTAAGGGGCCATGTGGTGCTAGGGACCAAAGTAGGGTCAGTCTGCTGCATGCAAAGCATGTGCCTGAACTTCTCATACCATCTCCTAGTCTCTAAGCAGGGAAGAAAAAAAAACATATCACAAGACGCTGGAAAGATAATACAGGGGGTAGGGCACTTGCCTTACATGCAGCTGACCAAGTTTGGTCCCTGGCACCCCATATGGTCTCCTGAGCACTGCCAGGAGTGATTCCTGAGCACAGAACAGGTATAAGCCCAAAGCACAGCCAGGTGTGGCCCCATCCCCCACCCCTATATGGATATAAGGATGACTTAAGATCAGAAAGTATTTAGGAACTGGAGCACAGCGGGTAAGGTGCATGCCTTGCACACAGCCCACCGAGGCTCAATCCCCAGAACTTCGTATGGTTTCCCTGCACACTGCCAGGAGCAATCCCTGAGTGCAGAGCCAGTTTTAAACCCTGAGCACTACCTGGTGTGGCCCCCAAGAATCAAAAGTAAAAAAATAAAATAAATTCTATAAGCATTAAGTCAAAATTGAAGGAGAAAAACCATAGTATAATAATACTACTTGCTGAAAAGACGTTTGATAAAATTAGCAACCTTTTTTATTTTTTTTCAGGGAACTGTATGGGATTCTGGGGATCGAACCCAGGTTGGCCACATGCAGGGCAAGTGCCCTACCCAATGTACTACCACTCCCACCTCACACTTTTTTTTCCAAGTTTTTGGGTCACACCCTGAGGTACACAATAGCTCCTCTTGGCTCTGCTCTTCTAAGTCATGCCTAGTGGTGGTGGTTGGGGGATCGCATGCAGTGCTGGGGAGTGAATTTGGAGTTGGTTATATGTAAGGTAAGTGCTTTAATCCCTGTATCATTTCTCTCATTTTTCTTTTCTTATTTTTTAATGAAAGGTAGAGACTAATGTCTCAGTGGCAAAATCATCTACCCTACAGGTGTTAGGTCAAAAGTTGATCCCTGGTGCCCCCCACATGTGCTGAATGTAATCCTGGCAACTGTGCTGCTGAGGATCTCTGGTACCACAAGTGTGTGTGGCCCCTGTCCACTGTAACAGTGTGTAAGCAACAGAACTTTAAAAAATGCAAATAGCATGCCAGATGCACAACCCCCAGAGCACATGTGCAAGCACTGCAAAATGTGGGGTCTTGGAGAGCACCACAACCAAGTGTGTGTGTGAGCCCAGCACAGCACAACAATGACAGCAAAATGGGAGCGGGGTGGGGATTCAGTCAATCAGTCGATCGATCATAAAGTAAAACAGGGACTAGAAAGAAACTACTTACATACATTAAATTGTTTTCCAAGACCTAGCCACTAACATGAACCTAAACAGGAACATGGAAACCATTGCAGTTAGAGTAACCGATCCCATATCTTATATAACCATCAAATAGATACAATTTAACACAATCGGCATAGAACTGAAAATGAAAACTATTAGTTTTCATCTTATGTTCAGAAAACTTGAGAGACTAAAGAAATACAGGGCTGGAACAATAGTACAGCAGGTAGGGTTTTTACCTGGCACACAGCCAACCTGGGTTCAATCCCAGTATCTCATATGATCCCCGGAGCAGGAGTAACCCTTGAGCACTGCCAGGTGTGGCCAAAAACCAGAAGGAGGAAGGAAGGAAGGTAGGAAGGAAGGAAGGAAGGAAGGAAGGAAGGAAGGAAGGAAGGAATTAGTCATGGGGGTTAGAGCAACAGGATATTCAATCCCCAGCACCCCAGAGGGTCCCCCTGAACCCAGCCCAGTCAGGGGTGATCTCTGAGCACAGACACAGGAGCAAGCCCTGAGCACTGCCAATGTGCCCCCCCCCCCCACATACACACACACAAGAGAAATCAATCATATGAGTAGTTAATAAGGGCCAAAACAATATAGTACAGAGGGTAGGGCATTTGCCTTGCACATGGCCAACCCAGGTTCTGTTCCTGGTATCCTATATGGCACTCCAAGCACCATCAGGAAAAATTCATGAGTGTGGAGCTATCCCTGAGCATCACTGGGTATGACCCAAAAAGCCAAAAAAGAAAAAAAAAAGTAAGTTGTCTGAATATAAGGCAGTTGAACTTAATAACTTCCTCAACCATTTAGAACTTAAATGGTAAGCATTTAGAACTCTATATAAAAATTATAAAACATTAGAAATATAGTAAAAACACAAGAAAATTTAATAAGACATATATAAACAGTACTAATCTTAGAGATAGAAATAAAACAAGCACTGAGAACATAAAAAGAAATAATCATATCTTGAGTATGGCCTTGTGTAAGGCCAGAAATCAAACTTGGGGCATCAGCCTTCCAGCCCTTTGAGCTATCTTCCTCACTTCAAGAAACACAGATTCTTGCCTTCCACCCTAGACTTGCTGAATCAGAAATCCTTGGTGTGGTGTCCAGCAATTGGGAGTTAGTAAGATCTCCAAGTGATTCTGATGCACAAAGACTGTGAACCATAAAGTCAATGGAGAAAAATTAAATGGCAAGAATGTGGGACCAATGAGATAGGATAGGAGGTAAGACACTCGCCTTGCATGTGGCTGACTTCAACTGGAATCCCCAGCACTGCATATGGACCACTTGAGCACAGTGCCAGGAGCAAGCCCTAAGCACCTCCTAGGGTGATCCAAAAACCAAAAAAGGGAGTAGGGATATATGACAAAGGGCTGGAGAGACAGCTCAGTGAGCTGAGAACATACTGGGCGCCCTGGAGCACAGCACTGGAGGCAGCATCCGGAAACCCTGTGTGTGGCTCCAAACAAACAAACAAAAATCTGTAACAAAGCTAACCTGCAGGTGATTAATTGAAACAAAATTTTAGGGGCTGGAGTGAGAGCACAGGATGGGGCTTTTGCCTTGCACGCAGCGGCTGACCCAGGTTCGATTCCCAGCGTCCCATATGGTCCCCTAAGCACCGCCAGGAGTGATTCCTGAGTGCAGAACCAGGAGGAACCCCTGAGCATCGCCGGGTATGACCCAAAAAGAAAAAAAAATTAAGATTAGGGGGGTGGGAGAGAAATTCCCACCCTCCCTTTTTTTAAAAAAGAGCAAGAAGTAGAACCTGAGAGCCCAGGGCATGGCCCCCCAAATAAAAAACTCAGCTGGAGTCAGATATGTGCAACTTATAGTAACAATACGCCCATGAAGAAAGGGAAACAAAATTTCAGTGTCACCTACTGCTGGAGGAAAACGGGTGCCCTCATTCCTCGGTGGAAATGTGAAATGACAGAGGCTTTGTGGAAAAGAATTTGGCAATATCTATGCAACTGCAAATTCGTGTTTTGTTTTGGGTTTTTGTTTTGTTTTGGGTCCACACCTAAGGGTGCTCAGGGCTTACTTACTCCTGGTTCTGAGCTCAGGGATTGCTCCTGGTAGGCTTGGAGGATCACATCAGGGGGTGGGGGATCAAACACAGGTTGGCCATGTGCAGGGCTAATGCCCTACCCACTGTACTACTGCTCTAGTCCCAGCAAGGTCATGTTTCATTCTACTTAGCAATCCTTCTTTGCCCCAGAACTGAAAATACTCCTATATAAGGATATAGGCATTAAGGATGTTTATTTGAACTTTATTTATTCCAGAAAATACCGAAATCCAAATGAATGCTCTTTGCTGAGGTACGGTTGGAGAATTCTGAGAAATCAGCATAAAATATAGTGCAACTATTGAAAAAGAATTAGAACACATCTGTCAACATTGGCTGCTTCAGCCACGTGGCGACTGACTTAAAATTCAGATCTCTGGGCCCCTTCCCCAAAACTTCTTTATTTATTTTTGTATTTTGGTCACACCCGGTGATGCTCTGATGTTACTTCTGGCTCTGCACTAGGAGATCACGCCTGATGGGGGCCAGGGCATCATATGGGATGCCAGAGATTGAACCCGGGCCAGCTGGGTGCAAGGCTAATTCCCTACCCATGCGCTATCTCTCCAGCCCCATTCCCCCAACTTCTAATGTAGTTGATGTGTGGTGGAGTTTAAGCACTTGTGTTTCTAAAATTTCCCAGGTGATTTGCCAGTACTGCTAGTACAGTGACCATTCTTTGAGAATCACTGGTTACGATAGTACAGAGTGAGACTGAAAATAAAAATTATATTTAGTATGGTCAAATAAACAGCAATTCCAAAAGCCTTATTCATATCTGCACATGAGAAAAATGGGAAAAAGCAAGAAACCAAAGGGCCAGAGAGATAGTACAGTGGGTAAGGCACTTGTTTTGCATGTGGCCTACCCAGGTTTGATCCCTGGAACCCAGTACTGTTACTCTGGTCCCAGATCACATACTATTTTATATAAAATTATTTGTGTGTAATATCTATAAAGTACAAACAACAATGAAACAAGTGGTTTTGAACTTTATACCTCTGTACCTAAGGCACCATGGGAGGGAAGGCACCAGAGCCACTGGGGGCCCAAACATACCTGATAGGAAGACACAGGAGACGGGAGATACGGGGACAGTGCAGACTGGGCAAGCATCCTGTTGGGGGCGATGTTATAACGAGTCGGGTAAAACCTACAGGAAGGAACCTAATCACTCAGGGAAGCCACAAGGTTAGGGTTCCTTCCACAGATACACCCGCAACTTCCACGGTCTAAAAATCCCGCTGAAACATCCCAGTGCTAGGTATAGGTTGGTGTGACTTTCTTGCGACATGATTATTTAAACACCCTTACCCATTCTGAAGAACTGTGGTGGGGTCATAGGTAAAGGCCATACCACCCTAAAAAGAACAAAAACAGGGTTTATATGAGCCCTTGAGTGAGAACAGAAGCTTAGAACGTCAAGGTTGATGATGTATTTGATTTAAATGATTAAAATAATGTCTGGACAAGTCCCAGTATTTCAGAGATTTTTCCTGGTTGTGCAAGCTGCAAAATCCCACTCAGGCCTCCCAGTGAAGACTATGGTAAGTATCCAGCATCTCCTGGTTACACACTGTAGCTCTCAAGCTCGCCATCCATGCCTACAGAAGTCACGTCACTACAATTTCCATCCCACCTTAATATTAATAATTCTATATTTAGCATTTGTTTTCTTTTTGAGGGGGAAGAGTCACACCTAGCAGTACTCAGGGCTTACTCCTGGCTTTGTACTTAGTGATCACTCCTGGCAGGCTCAGGGGAACATACAGGGTGCTGGGGATCAAACCCAGATCGGCCGCATGCAAAGCAAACGCCCTACCCGCTGTGCTATTGCTCCGGCCCCAGTATTGCTGTCTTCTCAGGGGTTCTTTTACCATGTCTCCACTCCTTGGCCACGCACGTCCATTTTGCATGAATTTTCCTTGGTTCTGTCGTTTCTTTGGACCACCATCAGCAAATTTGCAAAGCAGGGGATCAGAAGGGGCTGCCAAGAGAGAACGTAAACAGACAGCTGAATCTCCTTTATTTGATCCGAGCATGTAAGACTCTTCCAGAATCTTGACATGAAGTAACAACCTATGGTCTTTTCAGCCTGATCCCTGTATTCCTCACCTGCTATTCCAGGGGGTGTCTTAATATATTTTCCATTAAAGTGGGTGATGATAGCTTCACACTTCTCTGTGGACTCCATCCTAAGGAGCACAAGAGAGGTTAGGCTCCAGAGTGTCCAGGAACTGTTTTCTCTCTACATTCAAAGAGAAAGGCCTCCCTTCCCAGTCCCACAAATGCAATACGAAACTAGAATTTCCTTTCTAGAAATTCAAGATATCTTGATGAAGCAACACCAATTTTGTTTTATTTTGTTTTTAGAAAGTAGAAAAGTTTATTGGAAAAGGGAAGAGAAAGGAAAACTAACATCCCAGGTGGGGAGGAAGAAACACTATAGGGGTTAAAAATCTCTGAAATACTGGGACTTGCCCAGACATTATTTTAACTTAATCCTCTAAGTTCACAACATCAGTTTTAAGTAAAGGTTCTCTCAATTGACTTCTACAGGGATCCTCAATGGAATAATAGAGGCCTTCAAGCTATTAATATTCCAAAATAGATACCGAGTAATGGAAATAGTATTGTATTTAGTTCATACATAATAAAATAAAGAAGCTGTTATCATTATTTGTCTCTTTGGGGGGCCAACCCAGTGGTGCTTAGGGCTTACTCTGGTTCTGTGTTCAGGTTCTGTGTTACTCTGGTCGTGCTCAGGGGTCCAAGAGCAGTTCCAGGAATCAAACCCAGGTTAGCCATGTGCAAGGCAAATAACTCCTGTACTATCTCTTTGGCTCTTACCATTATTTTTGTCCTTATTTTAATTACAAAATCCTATTGGAAATTGTTCCCCCTCTCTAATGAAACTGCAAAAGTTGTGAATTTACCTATGCTTATTTTTTTCTTCTAATTATAATGATCAAGGACCTATTGGTAACACCACTAAACTTCCACAAGTTTGGAGTAAAAGAGAGTAATAAGAGGGGCTGGAGTGATAGCACCGCAGGTAGGGCATTTGCCTTTCACAAGGCCAACCTGGGTTCAATTCCCAGCATCCCATACGGTCCCCTGAACACTGCCATGAGTAATTTCTGAGTGCAAAACCAGGAGTAACCCCTGTGAATTGCCGGTGTGACCCAAAAAGCAAAAAAAAAAAAAAAAAGAGTAATAAGACAGGTTTATGTTTACAGCGAAAGGAGAGAGCATGAGAGGGACTCCTGGGTTAAGGTTCTCACTGGGGAAAGAGAACTAAGTAGGAGTCAACCTAGTGCTAGTTAGGACATATGCATTGAGTTAGGACATATACAAAAGTCCTTTGGATCGATTATTTCAGCTTTTTTTTATTTTTTATTTTTTTCTTTTTGGGTTATACCTGGCGATACACAGGGGTTACTCCTGGCTGTGCACTCAGGAGTTACTCCTGGTGGTGCTCAGGGGACCATATGGGATGCTGGGAATCGAACCTGGGTTGGCTGTGTGCAAGGCAAACGCCCTACCCGCTGTGCTATCTCTCCAGCCCCTATTTCTGCTTTAAAGACAAAAACATCCTTCCTACCATACAGGGTTGTATAGATCAAATGCAAAAATGCTTATAGAGGTGTTAAAAAGTATAAGAAAATGGGGCTGGAGCGATAGTACAGTGGGTAAGGCGTAAGGCTGACTCTCGTTCTATCCCCAGCATTCTATATGGTCCCCCAAGCACCACCAAGAATAATTCCTGAGTGCAGAGCCAGGAGTAACCCCTGTGCATCGCCAGGTGTGACGCAAAAAGCAAAAAAATAAAATTTAAAAAAATTATAAGGATCTATGGGGCCAGAGAGATTGTAAAGGAAATGCAGTCCTTGTCTGGCTTGCGTTGGCCACAATCCTGATTTGAATCCCTCATACCTAGTTCCCTGAGCACAGAACCAGGACTAGTATCTGAGCATTGTCAGGTGTGACTCACCCCAAACCCCCCTTCAAATCTAAGGAGTCAAAGAGATAGAACAGGACGTAAGGCACTTGGCTTGCATGTGACTGACTCCAATTCAATACCCAGCATCATATATGGTCACTAAGAACCACAAGTGACCTTTGAACAAGGAACCAGGAATTATCCCTAAGAATTGTAGAATGTCTCCAACACCCTGGATTACAAGAATCTATATATTATGTGGTACAGTGTCTTCCAAAAATCTTTCCAAATTTTATCTCAGTATATTTCTTTTTCTTTTTCTTTTCTTTTTTTAATGTAGGAGTACTGCTATTTATCCAGCGACTGATAAGGCTGTTTGAATTGGGCATGAACTCCACCTTACTTTTTTTTTCATTTTTTATAATTTTATTTATTGAATCACCGTGAGAGCAATTACAAAGCTTTTGGGTTTAAGTCTCGGTCATACAATGAAACACCTGTCCCTTCACCAGTGCCCATTCTCCACCACCAAAAACCCCAGTATATCTCTGTCCCACACCCTCCCCCTATCTGTGGGGCAGATGATTTCCACATTACTCTCTCTCTGCTTTGATTACATTCAATATTTTGACACCAGACCCACCATTATTATTTGGGATTTTACCCCAACACTCAGATCTGCTGAAAAGGCAACAGTAGACAATTTGTTTTCTATTGGTGGTTATGAATAACATATGATGTTGCACGGCCACAGTAGTGGCCACACAATTTTGGAATTCCAAATTTTAACAATTAAATCTTGGAGGGATTTCTGCCAAAACCTGCTGGGTTCTGAGATTTGTTCCTGAGTCTCTGGGATCATGGCTGTTAAGAAGCTTGATGAGAAGCCAGAGAGGCCATTTGTGGGCGGCGACTCAGGGTCTCATTGGGATGGGGAGGAAAGGGCTGGCTCCACCCCCATCCCCTGAGGTCTCTCGTCACTGAAGGCCCAAACCTGACTGTCCAGTGGCCCCTGGAGGATGGCAGCCACCAGGCCGCCAGGGAGAACAGGCCTAGGCACGAAACCTATTCCCACCGGGGGTGGCCAAGCGCCTGTAACCTACTGCAGGAACTGGATGCATTTCTGCCAAAAGCCGCTGGGTTTTGAGATTTGTTTCTGAGTCTCTGGGATCATGGCTATTAAGGAGCTTGATCAGGAGCCAGAGAGGCCTTGTCTCCAATTGTATAGCTGAGCCAAAGTAGGTTTGTGGGCGTGTCTCCCACATACCTAACTTTTGGCCGTTCACTTTCTTGGCAAACTTGGCCCCAAGTTGTTGGGTTCTGGCCAAAGGCACAGCAGCAATTTTGGGGTATCTGGAAGTCTGAAGGCGCCATCAGGCTGCTGATGCACTCACATCTCAGTATTTTCTTTTCCTAATTCATTTTTTACTAGAACACCATGATTTACAGAGTTGTTCATAATATAATTGTTTTTAGGCATATAGTTTTTTTAAATGCTCATTTATTTATTTGTTTTTATTAGTGAATCACTGTGGGGCACAGTTACAAACTTATGAACTTTGATGTTTGCATTACAGTCAGACAATGATCGTTTGCCCATCCCTCCACCAGTGTCAGGCATATAGTTTCCAACACCGACCCCACCACTAGTGCGAACTTCCCTCCACCAAGCCTGCTCCCTTAGCAAGCACCAGTTTTACTTTATGTATTTCTTGCTACAACAAAATGGCAGATAAAATGGTCATAAAATGCATCAACAAGAGTCCCTATGTGGTGACTGATCGTGACCTCTTACAATGGTGTTACAAAAGCCACTGTCTGAGGATTTACTGAGCTGGTTGAGCCTTCTGTGTTGTTTCCACTCATTGAGCTTGGTGGGCTTCCACACAACTCTCCCATCAAATCTGCTGTGCTGTCAGACTGATGGGGCTGCCATTACTGTGAAATTTGGAGGAGGTGTCCCATGGCTGCAACCTCATGCTTCAGAAGTTGTAAAACTGGGCCAGTTAATGGTGGAGGGGTCAGGTCTGGGGGCTGGTGGGCTTCGACAGAAGGGAGGGGAATCTGCCTATCCCCGTTCTGAAAGGCCTGAGTTTTCAGCTTAGAAGTCTCTCTACCCAGACATTTGTTGTTTGTTTGTTTTTTGGGTTACATGCAGCAGTGCTTGTAACGCCTGGCTCTGAGCTCAAGGATCACTCCTGGAGGGGCTTGGGGAACCATATAGGATTCTGGGGACAAAACCCAGGTTGGCAGTATGTAATATTAGTACTCTGCCCCAACCTGGACATTTTGGCAGCTTGACTGTTTGGAGACTTGTTGAGACTTTCATGTCAGTTTCTTTTCTGTGCCGTACAATAACCACTGAAAAAATTAACCATTCCCATTAAGGGGAACGCTAAATAATGTCCTAATTGAAATCTTTCAGAAAAAAATCTTGTTAGGGGGCTGGAGTGATAGTACAGAAGGTATGGCATTTGCCTTGTATGCAGCTGACCTGGGTTCGATCCCCGGCATCCCATATGGTCCCCTGAGCACCGTCAGGAGTAATTCCTGAGTGCAGAGCCATGAGTAACCCCTGAGCACTATCAGGTGTGGCCTAACAACCACCCTCAGCCTGTTAAGAATCTTAGAGCAATATTTGTATTTTGTTGGGTTACTCCTATTTTTTAGTCTTTGAAAAGCATAAGCAGGCACAGAAGTTTCTAAGAGAAGAAGTAATGGGGCTTGATAAAGAGCTCCAGAATACTAAAGAAAGACGTTAAGGAGCCAGAGTGATGGTACAGCGGGTAAGATGTTTGCCTTGCATGCAACTGACCCGGGTTGAACCCCCAGCATTCCATATGGTCCCCAAGCACCGCCAGGAGTAACTCCCTAGTGCAGAGCCAGGAGTAACCCCTTAGCACCCTGAGTGTGACTCAAAAAGCAAAAAAAAAAAAAAAAAGTTAAATTCCCAAAACACAATACTTTTTTTTGGTGGGGGAGGTATTGTTTTGGGTTCATACTCATTAGTGCTCAGGGCTTACTCCTGGCTCTGTGCTAAGGAATCACTCCTGGAAGACTTGAGGAACCATATGGGGTGTTTTCAGAGATCATGAAAAAACAAATACCCCTCCTGCTGTACTATCACTTTGCCCGTGTTCTCTCTTGAACATGCATTTCATTTGCTTATCTCTGTGTCTCTTTGCTCATTTGTTTTTTTATTTTCTCTCTCTCTCTCTCTCTCTCTCTCTCTCTTTCTCCCTCTCTCTCTCTCTCTCACACACACACACACACAAAATAGTTTCATTCCTGTAAGGTAAGAGCTAAATAAAACCTTTTGCTGTTCTTTTTTAAAAACTTTTTTTGGGAGTGGCAGGGCAAACGCTCTACCCACTGTACAGGCTCAGGCCCTGCCTCTGTTCTCTTTTGAACACTTATTTCCTTTCATTCTTTCCCCTCAAATCTTTCTAAATAAGTTCAATAAAAACTGTCTTGGAACTGGAGAGATAACACAGTGGGTAAGGCACTTGCCTTGCATGTGAACCCACCCTGGTTTGATCCTCAGCATCCCATATGGTCCTCTGAGCCGTGCCAAGAGTAATCCCTGAGCACAGAACCAGGACCTGCGCACCTTCAGGTATGACAAAAACAAACAAACAACAACAAAAACAACAAAACAAACAAAAACTATCTTGCTTCACAAAAAGAGAGAGTGAGGAAGGAAGAAGGAAGGAAGGAAGGAAGGAAGGAAGGAAGGAAGGAAGGAAGGAAGGAAGGAAGGAAATCTGTAAAAGGAAATGAGAATGTAAGTCTCCAATATGATTCCAAGGTTTGAAAAGTATTTGAAAAGTATTTTTCAAATGGCCACAAAAACTGAGATAAAACACTGTCTTCGTTGTTTAGATATTTAATTACTTAGACTTTTAAATTACTTTGGGCCAGATGTGGCCTTCCACCAAAACCCCAAACCTTGGAGGCCAAAGCCTAGGCACTCCCCCTTCGTACTTCCTTGGATTACCAGCAGGTGGGGCTACCCAGAGAGACCAGACTAGGGCCCTAGCCTTTGTTCCCAATGTCAGGAGCTCTAGAGGAAGTATTTTATTTTTGTTTTGGGGATTACTCTTGGCTGTGCATGCAGGGATCACTCCTGGCAGGGCTCAGAGGGCCATGTGGGATACTGGAGATTGAACCTGCATCAGCAGTGTGTAAAACAAGCTCCCTACCACCATACTATCGCACCAGCCCCAAGGAACTTTTCTTGAATCAGACAAGATGTTATGGAACAAAAAGGTATCCTTCACATCACTTAGTCTAGTCATTTTCAAGTTTTTTCTTTTTGCTTTTTGGGTCACACCCACAATTCACAGGGGTTACTCCTGGTTCTGCACTCAGGAATTACCCCTGGCGGTGCTTGGGTGACCATATGGGATACTGGGAATTGAACTCGGGGTGGCAGCATGCAAGGCAAACGCCCTATCCACTGTGGTATCCCTTCAGCCCTGTCATTTTCAAATTTCTGAAAATAAAAAAAAAATCAACAGGATCTTGTGCTGCAGAGCTTGTTCAAAGGGTCAGCGCTTGGGCAAGCTGCATGCAGGTGGCCCTGGCACAATACAGCTTCCTGAGCACCCCTGGCTGTGGCACTGGTGACCACCAGCACTGGTGGGAAGGACTACCCCTCACCCCACGAAACAAGGTTCTTAGAGTACCATGTAGAACCACGCCTCCAGAATGCACTGTAGCCCTGGGAATGAAGCAATAGTTTCAGGGTAGGGTGTGTGGCTTGCACATGGCCAACCTGGTTTCAACCCCAGCATCCCATATAGTTCCTAAGCACTGCCACTAGTAATTCCTGAGTGCAGAGCCAGGAATGAACCTTGAGTATTGCTGGGCATGACTCAAAAAGCAAGACAGTTACAACAGTGATGTGATTTCAACAGCTCTGGATCAAACAAAGTATAGTTTGAACAATGGATAATTAGAAACGTGTAACAAATTATTTTAATTCTGTTCTTCCCAAAAGCTTAAAACCACTAATTAAAGGAAGATGTGAGGGGGCAAGGTGTGTAAGTCTCTTCTTATCTTTGAAGGGCTAGTGATTTTTAAAAAATAAATTAAAGGGGGTATGGTACCGCCAGCAGGTCAATCTGTACCTGTGAGGCAAGTGCATCAGTAGGCTGATGGCACCGTCAGACTTTCAGATACCCTAAAAGTGCTGCTGTGCCTTTGGCCGGACCCCAAAAACTTGGGGCAAAGTTTGCCAAGAAAGTGAACGGCCAAAAGTTAGGTATGTGGGAGACACACCCACAAACCACCTCCGGCTCAGCTATATAATTGGAGGCAAGGCCTCTCTGGTTCCTGATCGAACTGCTTAACGGCCATGATCCCAGAGACTCAGAAATGAATCTCAGAACCCAAAGGCTTTTGGCAGAAATGCGTCCTGTTCCTGCAGTAGGTTACTGGTGCTGGGCCACTCCAGGTGGGAATAAGTTTCGGGCCTTGGCCTGCTCCTCCTGGCGGCCCGGTGACCATCATCCTCCAGAGGCCACAGGACAGTCAGGTTTGGGCCTGCAGTGATGAGACACGTGGGGGTGGAACCGGCCCTTTCCTCCCCATTCCAACGAGACCACAAGTCACCGCCTACAAAAGGCCTCTCTGGCTCCTGATCAAGCAGATTAACAGCCACGATCCCAGAGACTCAGAAATAAATCTCAAAAAACCCAGTGGCTTTTGGCAGAAAAGCATCTGGACCACATGAACCCAGGCTGGCCACATGAAAGGCAAACATCCAATCTGCTGTACTATCTCTCTAGCCCCAAATAAAACTATTTTTGAGAAAACTAGGTTAGTGAGTATTGTGATCTATAATAGAATGAAGCTTTGATTTACTGACAACTATTTTCGCAAATAGTTTGGTTGGGAGGGAGCACAGTTTCTTGATGACCTCTTTTTGTGTGTGTGTGTATTTTTTTTTTCTTTTTTGGGTCACACCCAGCGATGCTCAGGGGTTCCTCCTGGCTCTGCACTCAGGGATCACTCCTGTGGGGCTCGGAAGACCATTTGGGATGATGTTGGAGGATTCAACTCAGGTCAGCCACATGCAAGGCAAAACTCTACCCACTGTACTATATCTCCAGCCCCCCCTTAAGTGACTTTTTAAAAAAACTCATCTCTTACCTTTAACATAACATTTCCTCACCTTGCAAATCCAACCCCTCTGCTGGTTCCACTGGTATCACGAAGGATTCGAGTAGAGATGACCTGGCCAAAAGGCGTCAGCATTCCCTCTAGCTCTTGTTCATCCATCGACAGTGGAAGGTTTGATATATACAAATTTGTGGGGTCCTGCTCTTGTTGCTGAAGAAATAAAAGTGAGAAAATTAAGTTTGCATTCCTTATTCCTCAACTACAAAATGACACTTCAGGAAAGCATTCGTAGAAAGGCTTCTTTATAACAAAGAAAACCTTGACCACTATTTTTTTGACACTTAATCCCAGTACTATGGATGACAAGTTTTAGGGGGAAAAAAGATTTAATCTTTATAGTACTGTACATCCCATAAAACTCATTCTTGATGGGGTTTCAGTTGTTTCCATTATCTCTTTAAGATCTGTCCCAGAAGCTGAATTCTCTCCAACTGTCTTGCTCCCTGGATTGTTCTGAATAATACCCCCTTCCAGCTGTAGTGAACTCTTCTGAGTTCACTCCCTGATGGTAGAAAATCAGGAAGAGGGAAGATGGGGGGGTGGGGGGGGAAGGCATTGTGCTAGGGGCTGGACTAAGGAGCAGATAAGCTATGGTCCAACAGGTCACCAGAAAAAATTCCAGATTTTTTTTTCCCCAAATTTTGGGCCACACCCAGTGGTATGCTCAGGGCTTATTCCTTGGCTTAGAGCTCAGGGATCACTCCTGGCTAGCTCAGGGGACCATATGTAATGCTGGGAATTGAACCTGGGTTCCAACCATATCTTCGAAAAGTTTCCTTTCTTACTGTAGATTCCTTTTCACCAACAGGACCCTTCCCAGACTCCCTCCTTCAACAGAGACCAGAGGACAGTATGGGGAGGTGGGTAGCAAGGTTTTAACTTCTCAGTTGCAAAACCGGTTTCTTCAGAAAAGATTGCAAAACAACCACAAGCTGTGGTAGGGAAGAAAGTCTGGGGAAGGTTTGTGGCCCTTGATTACTCATACTACTTCAGGAGACAGAGTTGTTAGAGTTTCCTGCTACAGGTTTTGATTCCATCTTCCTCAAGCAGTGGATACCAAGGGCTGTTCAATGGGATCCTGGCTCAGAATGTCTTTGGCCAGGTAAAGTTAAAAAAACACTACAGACAGTTCTTGCCCATCAACTTTATGGTTCTCAAACCTCTGGTGTTGGACACCAGAAAATAGTACAGCGGGCAGGGTGTCTGCCTTGCACTGTGGCCAACCTGGGTTTGATCCTTGGCATCCATATGGTCCCCCAAGCACCACCAGGACTAATTCCTGAGTGCAGAGCCAGGAGTAACCCCTGAGCATCACTGGAATTACTCCTGGTGATGCAAAAACAAAACCCAAAACAACAACCCTGACACTGCATGGTCCCCTAAATAACACTGTGAATGACTCCAGAGAACCTAGCCAGGAGCAGACCTTGAGTATCCATAGCTATACTTCTCACCCCTCCCTCCGAGCCTTTTGATGTTAAACACAATTTCTCAGAGGAACAGGCCTGGGGTGATCCTTACCTTTGCCATCTGTGCCTGTATCCCGCTGGCTTTCAGTGCTGTCACAGCTTTCTGTGCTGCTGAGGGGCTGTCAAAGTCCACAAAGCCATAGCCTGAAATGGGGAGACAGCAGCACTGGGGATGGGGAGGGAAGGGAGGTAGGCTTTTCAAGAGTCAGAGGAAAAGTAATGACCCATGTACAGGAAGTGGTAGGGAATAAGAGAAGATTATGAGGATTCAGGCGGTTATTATTGTGTTCCTCGAACCCTGTGAGACTTGATCTACTTATATCTAAGAACACCAAAAGGAATGAGGTTGTTCTTGTAGCACTGCCTTTCTTCCTCCCCTAAAGAAACCTGGGTTTTTTTCAAGAACTAGCCTTTCCAGTTACTCAGGTTTGATCCCCAGAATCCCATAAGGTCCCCTGAACACCACAAGGAGTAATTCCTGAGTACAGAGCCAGGAAAAACCCATGAGCATTGCCGGCTGTGCCCTCTACCTACTCAAATAATAAAATAAATAAAAGGTTGTTTGTTTTTTTAAATCCCAGGGGAGGGGGCCAGAGTGATAGCACCACAGATAGGGTTTTTGCCTTGCATGTGGCTAACCTGGGTTTGATGCCTGACACCCTATATGGTCCCCTGAGTGCAGAGCGAGGAGTAACCCCTGGCTGGGTGTGACCAAAAATAAATTAATTAATAAATAACCCAGGAACCTTAATTTTGGGGCCGGGACAATAGTACAGCAGTTAGGGCATTTGCCTTGCACACGGTCAACCTGGGTTCCTTTATGGTCCCCCAAGCACTACCAGGAATAATTCCTGGGTGCAGAGCCAGGAGCAACACCTGAGCATCACCGGGTGAGCCCCTCTTTGGTGTGACCCAAAGAAGAAAAACAAGAAACAAAAATCTAGGCCTTTCCAGTACTTCACCCCCCCTCCATATTTCTAACAAAACTCCTTTTCTAGCCACACCCCAGAAGTGCTATGGATGTGGGGAATATATGTTCCCCATTCTCCAAACATAGAATAGTCCTTTGCCCTACTGCTTCGTTGCAGATTCATGAGTTCAATAGCATAAAGTGAAAAGGCAATTACAATTACTTGGGAAAAAACTGAGCAGAGAAGGGTGAACCTACTGAATCACACCAACACATAAAACATATATGCTGAAATAACACTAGCAGACAGCAAATGATATGATCAATGATATGATCAATCAATGATCAATACGTTGGCTAAATGAAGTTCCTGGGGCAGGAGCCACACAGGAACACGCTCACTGCTAGATGTACATGCTGCATAATGGTACAGTGCCTTCAGTCCTTTGTCAGTCTTTTGTCACTACTCTTTAGATTTCATGTAGTGAAAAAAGATACTAACATAGTACCTACATACGTTAGTACTTACTAACAAACAAAGCACAAAGCAAACTTTTGAATAGTCGGTTGCATCTGTGTAGCCCTTCTACTGCAGGTAACTAGCCATTTGCTGGAAGAAGCCCCAGTAGCCCAACCCACAGACCTTCCCCTTCCTCCACTGTTCTTTCCCACCTAGAACTACATACCCCAACAAATGGTGCTAACCATCGTAAGCCTAAAATCCAGTCATGAATAACTTTGTAATATCACAGTGACAAAAAACTTAATTAAAAAGTACTTTAAACCACAAAATAACACTTACCAAGTCAAACGACTACCATCAAGAGGCATTTAAAGTGTTTTGCCAAGAAGAAATAATCTCACTTACCCATATCCACCATCTTCAGGGAAACAATGAGGCCCAAAGTAAGTCAGCTGAACTCAAAGAGGCCCTTTACATGCTTCTAGCCTTGGGTCCCCAAAAGAGCATTTTCATTTCTAGCTATCTGGTCACCAAAGACACTTGAGTCTTAAAAACTTATGGGTCCTGGGCACTCTCAGCAATAAAGGGCAGAGTCAAAGGAGACCTTCTATGATCTTTATCACCAAGGATAGTTGTCTCTCACCTTTGCATTTGTTTGTGGTCTTGTCCAATATAGCCTTAGTGGAGACAATCTTGCCATATCTAAGGGAGAGGAAAATGCAAAATGATAATCTGGGGGCACGGTCTTAGAATGAAAAGAAATGGGGATTTTTGGAGGCATTCATGTCCTTTCTCTACCCCCACAAAGATAATTATTCACATGCAAATCTTTTTCTTTTCCTTGTGTTTATGTATTTTGGGTGCACACTGAGTGGCTTACTCCTGGCTCTGTGTTCAGAGACCACCCCTGAACCCTACCAGGGTTCAGGGGACCATATGTTGTACCAGGAATCAAACCAGGTAATCCATGTGTGAAGCAAGAACCCTACCCACTGTACTATTTATCTGGCGCCCCTATTAAATTATCAATAATAACAAAGAAGAAGTAAATCTAAATGTCATGCCTACCAGAGCTGTAGTGACAGTACAGTGGGTAGGGCCTTTGCCTTGCCTTGCATATGGCTGTTCTTGTTTCAATATACGGCATCCCATATGATCCCCCAGCGCCGCCAGGAGGAATTCCTGAGTACAGAGCCAGAGGTAACCCCTGAGCATTGTCGGTGTGACCCCAAAAGCCAAAATAAGTAAATAAATATAAATGTCATGCCTACCATATAAATATAATCTCCAAATATGCCTACAAAAAATAAAGAACTGTAGACCTACTCTACCAACAAATTTCTCTCTCTTCTGCACCAACCAAAACTTTTGGTTTGGTTTTGTGGTCACACCCAGCAGTGCTCAAGGCTTACTCCTGCTATGTGTTCAAGGGATCACTCCTGGTAGGGCTTGAGGACCATATGAGATGCTACGGATTGAACCTGGTTTGACTGTGTTCAACATAAGTATCCTATATGCTGTTCAATATCTCTGCCACCACTCCCCAAATAAAACATAATTGCTGCTTGGGGAAAGAGTACAGTGAGAGCTGGGGACATGGCTCAGCAGTAGAGCACAAGTGAACACACACACACATACACACACACACACACAGAGTTGACTGGCAAAAATTCTTTGAGAATTAAAGATTATTCTTTTTTTTTTTTTTCTCTTTGGGTCTCACCCGGCAATGCACAGGGGTTACTGCTAGCTGGGCACTCAGGAATTACTCCTGGTGGTGCTCAGTAGACCATATGGGATGCTGGGAATCGAACCTGGGTCGGCCGTGTGCAAGGCAAAAGCCCTACCCGCTGTGCTATCACTCCAGCTCCTTAAAGATTATTCTTGATTTTATTACTTAATTTTTTTCTTTTGATTAAATCTGATTTTTACTTTTTCTTCTCTTTGACAAAGACTATTTCTCTCGTGAAAAATCTATAGGCATTTATCTTCTCTGACATCTCACTACCTACTCTTCTACTGAACTCGGGTTGAAAGTTAACCTGCGTTGACTGTCTTTATTTAAATCTTGTTTTTCTGCTTTGTAGCTTCATATGATCTTAGACAAGTCATTTCACCTTTTCTTTTTTTATTTTGCTTTTTGGGCCATACCTGGCAATGCTCAGGGGTTATTCCTGCTTTGCACTCAGGAATCACTCCTGGCGGTGTTCAGGGGACCATATGGGATGCTGGGACTTGAACCTGGGTCGGCTTTGTACAAGCCAAATGCCCTATCATCTGTGCTATCGCTCCAGCCCCACCATGCTTTATTCTTAAAACTACAAAGTAGAAACAGGAATGCTGGGAATATGAAATGAGTATATTAACATAAAGCAGTACTGCTACAAGATATTTATGAAATTTTGTTTGTTTTGGGGTCACACCCAGCAATGCTTAGGATCACTCCTGGCAAGGCTCAGGGCTGCCAGGTCAGCCAAATGCAAGATAATATTTAAAATCTTTAAACTGCTATTGTAATTGTTAGTTTAGTCAAGAGACCTTTCAACTTTAATTTACTGTAAATGGTTCTATTTTATTATTTTCTAAAAAAAATTTATTCTCAATAGTTGAGTATGTTCAGAGATGAGTGGTCATGAGATCTGTGCAATATAAATGGAAAAAAAATTATTCAAAATTTTTAGAATTCTGTAATATCCCAAGACTGAATCAGGAGGAAGAAAAACACAGATCAACAGATCAAAACTGTTATCAAAAATCTTCCCAAAACAAAATCCAGGCCCAGATGGGCTCATCAATGAGTTCTTCTAAACCTTCAAACAGAACACACTTTCTATTCTTCTCAAGGTTCTTCCAGAAAGTTGAGGAAGTAGCACTGACCTCCCATTGTTCATCAATTTCCTTGAGTGGGCACCAGTAACGTCTTCATTGTGAGACTTGTTGTTACTGTTTTTGACATACACCATGGAAAGAGCTTGACAGGCTCTGCGTGCAGATGGGGTAGTCTCGGTAGCTTGCTGGGCTCTCCGAGAGGGACAGAAGAATCTAACCTAGGTAGGCCGCATACAAGGCAAAAGCCCTACCTGCTGTGTTATAGCTCCAGCCCTTTTTAAAATATGCTAGATTTAAAGAGAAAAAAACTTGTCTCTAAGTAATCTCTTCAAATTTCAGGTGAATTATATTGAATTATATTGCTCCTATGTATATCAGAGTTAGAAATAGTCACCTCCTTTATGCTGCTATTACTAGAACATTCCAGGAATGGTCTTAATAAACAAGTTATGTTATAGTCAATTACTTTAAGGACTGGAGCGATAGCACAGCCTTGCACACAGCCAACATGGCTGACCCGAGTTCGATTCCTCTGCCCCTCTCGGAGAGCCTGGCAAGCTACCGAGAGTATCTCGCCCGCATGGCAGAGCCTGGCAAGCTACCCGTGATGTATTCAACATGCCAAACACAGTAACAACAAAGTCTCCAATGGAGACGTTACTGGGCCCGCTCGAGCAAATCGATCAACGGGAGGGCCTTTACTTTTACTTTTTTTACTTTAAGGTATCAACTAAGATTCAAATATGTCAAAATTAATTTTTGACAAATGTTCTTTAAACAACCAAATGACTAATAATTCCAGCCTCAATCTACAAATGAATTCAGTTAATTGTGGTTTACTTGAGGACTCTATTACAGCAGATTTAAGGTAACTGCATAAAAATTCAATGTTGTAATTTCTAGGAAAACTTTCCTTGGGGAAAAAGTATCTTTTCAATTTTGCTCTCAACTTCCAAAGCTAAATTCTCATTTCTTTCCTTCAAGTCACACGATTCATTTGTAGCTTAAATTCAAATACAGGGCTGCTTATGAAAGCCCACATCAAGATAAGTCTGCTGTCAGAAAGAGAAGGATAGACATAGAAAGATTGCTTTCATCTGGGGAACATAAAGTAACAAAATAGGAGACTAACACCCAAGAGTGGCCGAGATTAGTACCAGGAGGTTTGCTCCATGGCTTGGAAGCCAGCCACACATGCTAGGGGAAAAGGGAGCTCAGATAGAGAAGGGAGCACCAAATAAAGGGTATTGGGAGGATCCTCCCAGGATGAGAGAAGCATGCTGAAAGTAGACTATAGACCAAACATGATTGCCACTCAATGCCTCTTTTGCAAACCACAACACCCAAAAGGAGAGAGAGAACAAAAGGGAATGCCCTGCCACAGAGGCAGGGTGGGATGGAGGGGCTGGGGGGTGGGAGGGATACTGGGACCTGTGGTGGTAGAAAACGGGCACTGGTGGAGGGGCGGGTATTTGATCATTATATAATTGAAATCCAAGCACAAAAATTTCTAAGTCTACAACTGTACCTCGTGGTGTTTCACAAAAAAAAAAAAAAAAAAAAAAAAAAAGGTAAGTCTTCTGCCAGCACACCCGGCACAAAGATAGGTGAATATTACATTCAGGCAATAAAAAATATGTACTTGAATTTTCCTGGACTGCCACTAGATGGGACCACAGAGAAGGCAAAAAGGCACCCCAGAGAGAAGGGTAGGGAAGGGGGGGGGGCAGGGGAGAACTGGAGGGACTAATCCAGTCAGTGGCTTAGAGCACCTCTTTTGCGAGTACATGCCCACAAATTCAAATGTCCTAATGGTCAGTTGGCAAATGGGCCAAGCACCATCTCGGCTTGTGATCCCTGGTGTTCCCCAGTTTCTTTCTTTTTTTTTTAATTTTTTTAAATTTTTGGGTCACACCCAGCAATGCACAGGGCCAAGCACCATCCTTGTCTTGTGATCCCTGGCGTCCCCCAGTTTCTTTCTTTCTTTTTTTTTTTTTTCTTTTTGGGTCACACCCGGCAATGCACAGGGGTTACTCCTGGCTCATGCACTCAGGAATTACCCCTGGTAGTACCCGGGGGACCATATGGGATGCTGGGAATCAGACCCGGGTCATCCGCGTGCAAGGCAAACGTCCTACCCGCGGTGCTATCACTCCAGCCCCATCCCCCAGTTTCTGGCCACACTTCAGTCAAGTGTGTGCAGGCACTACAAGGGATAAGACTCTCAGCAAACAGCACAGTGAAATGATGTGTGCACATCAGGACCAAGAACATGTGTTAGCACTGCAGTAAATCTGGCGAGTACCACACCCATTAGCAGAAGTAGACAGAGATAATACTTTTTGGAAAATTACAGAACAGAACCCCTGATGAATTTAGATGCAAAGATCCTTAGCAAGGGTCCACAATGATAGTACATCAGGTAGGGTGCTTGCTTTGCGTGTGGCTGAACTGGGTTTGAACCCCAGGAGTCCGTATGGTACCCCAAGCACTGCCTTGAGTGATCCCTGAGTCAAGAGCCAGGAGTAAGTGCTGAGAACAGTCAGATGTGGCCCCACAGAAAAACAAAACCAAACCAAACCTACTGAGTGGGAGAAGTAATTGCTCACATACATAAAAAAATTGCTCATCATACATCTCACAAAGGCCTAATATCCAAATCTTATAAAGCACTCATGAAATGAAACAAAAATCAGACATCCCCATCAAAAGATGAGGAGAGGAGCTGAGCAGACACTTCCTCAAAGAAGACATACAATATCGACAGATATATAAAAAAGAGTTCTTTAGCATTATGTTCAGGGAAATGCAAATTTAAATGATAATGAAATATTGGGTCTGGAAAGATGGCACAGTGGGTGGGTCATTTGCCT